GGGGTCGCGCCCCACAGTTTGAGAACCACTGTTATAGACAATACTTGATTGCTTGGCCCAACATCTTCCATCAATTTAACCAGAAGATTAATTTAAAAGTTATGTTTTAAATTTAAAAGTTACTTTTCATATCTGTAAGATTGGTTAGTGGATTGTTGAACTGTGAACACATTTTTGGAGGGCCTGACGAGGTGAAGTGGGGTTAGTATAAGCCTGCTGGGGTGTTTTAGAACAATTTGTATTGATGATTGTTACTGCATCATTGTACAATGTCCTGTTGTGAATTTATTAATACAAGTTCTTGTTCAGCAGTACAGAAATGTTTGATGAGTGGTGGCCATGGCCCTCGTTTAATGCCACTCACACCATCCCGGTGGCAGTGGCACAAGTTCAAAGACATGGCTCATTACTATTTTATGATTGGCCTCATACCTGTTGGCCTTGTCGTCTTCTGTGCTAATGTATTCATTGGGCCCGCCAAACTAGCTGAAATTCCAGAAGGCTATGAACCTAAACACTGGGAATATCATAGGGTTGGTATATGAAGAGATGAAAATATTTGTTAGTTGGAAGTCAGAGATTGGGAATATTTACAAATTTTGTATTGTTTCCAGCATCCAATTACACGTTTCTTAGCACGTTACATTTTGGCAAGTCCTCAGCAGGAATACGAAAAATTCCTGCATCAGCTGTATGAAGAGGATGAGAAAGCAAAGATAAGGTAATGTTACTGAACCCAGATCTCAAGTTGAGTAGTAATAATTGTTGATGTTTCAAATTGAATCATTCTCTTTCAGAGGCCTTGAGAAGAAAATCCGTTTGAAGATGTCTGAGCGACATGATTACCAGGGCTACTACACTCGTCCATTTGATGCAAAATATCACCGGGTATCCAAAGAAGCTGCTGATTACCTTCGTTCTATTCGTGGAGATTAAGTGGAGATCACTGTTGTTTTTATAGAAACTTAAAGTTTTAGACTGTATAGCTTTATAACTAATGAAATAAAGTATTTAAAAAGTAATTTATTCTTTATGGTGTTTAAATTATAGAGGTGAGAAGTGTCGTGTGCAGGGTTTATATAAAATATTTTTAAAACTGCAGCCTTAAGTGTATCTTCTCATTTCCTGTCAAATGCAATAACCACTTTAGCCCTAAGTATGGGTGTTAAAAGAGTTACAATTTAAAAACTTGACTCTTCCTGATACTAAATTTTTTATAATAATAATATAGTATCATTATAGAGGCTTCCTTAGATCTATCTTCAGGAAGTTCAGTTCTGTTTACATTGTCCCCCCTCTCTAGATTATTAATTTGTGAACTGTGGAAGAGGCTCATCATCTGTGACATGGCTAAAACTGGGAAGCTCATTTGGTTCACACCAAAACACTGATGCAAAATCTGAACATGCGACAGACTGGCACCAAATTTGTACATTTTATGTTAATGAGAAGGGAGTATTTGGTCAATGTTTATTGGGGCCAACAGACAACACTTTATTACATGACAAAATGGGTTTGCGGATGTGATCCTGAAACGAAGCAAGGACCTTAACAGTGGAAAAGTGAAACATTGCTGTGTCCAAAGAACACAGACAAATTCCTTTTAATGTTATATTTTAGCATCCTGTTGCACTGACTCATGTCCATAATTTATGCTAACCATCTTACAGTGCATACACTTTTTCACCATACTCTTCTCTTTTGCACTACATGTTTCATCACTAATGTGCCATCTTCAGGTGCGTTTTCTCTATGCACGTCTAACTACTGCATTGCATGCCCCAATGTCTTCATATTAAAATGACTAAAATATATATTCGTCATATATAATAATAGATTTTAAATATTAAAACTTTTCAGAATTTGTCATCCTTATGTCGTATCTCAACACGCAAATCACGCCAATCCTCCTCTGTCGGAGCACTCTTCCTACATTCATATGTGTACTGTGCTCTTTGTTGTCTTGCTCCTGTGACTGTGTGCGTTATAAATTCCTTTTAATATGAAAAACTTGGTAATTTTTTTTTTTTACATTTATGGCATGGTGCACCAGGAGCTTGTTGCAAACAGAAAAAATATCTATATGCTTGTTCTGCAATGCATACAGGACTATTAGCAATAAAAATACTGAAATAATAACCACATATTTCAACATAATGGAAAAAACTGTACACAAAGTATGTTTCTGTTTTGGGTGTAGGGCTTTATTTGAAAAACAACTTTGTGGTACATATTTATATTATTCCAAGGACAGAAAAATGACAACATTAAATTGTTCTTATCCACATACTGTACAAATTACTTGTGCTTGCTGCATAATATGGATCAAATACCATAGCAATATACTTCTTCACACCATCTAATATGTAACACAGCTGCTTCAATTATTAGTTACTCCAGCTTTGGGTGAACATCCCACAGTTAACACGACAAAGACAGAAATGATGTACAACCTACACCCCCATTTTTTCTTGACAGACAAAAAGGTTCACTTTTATAGCAAATCAGGTCAGGAAAAATCCTTTCATTGTTGACCACCATTTATTTTATTTCAGAAGCCAACTTGTAGCATCCTCTTTGAAACCTATCATTCATATTCCTGAGTTCTTCCTTTTAACACAACCCAAGGATTTCTTTCTTTTCTTTTAATAATGTATATTTATTCTTGTTCAAAATGAAGAACTCCAAGGCTACCAGTGAATTAAGTACAACACTGAATAAGTTACTGAGGTGTCTAGAGCATCACCTCCTCCTGTTGAAACCAGATCCTTCCTTATTAATACTTACACACATGAAATTTTAAAAACCTGCATATGAACCAAACCCTGCATGAATATTTGATGTAAGAAGTGTCTTAGTTATCTAGCTTTGTTATTACATTTCAACAGAGAAGGTGAAACAAGACTGATCTAGCATCTAACTTTTTCACATTCACCTCTCTAAATTTCTAACTATTTATACAGTACATATGTGTAGGAAATGTCAAAAACAAATCATTTAACCATCAAATTCAACTGCTCTTTCGTTGAAGGAACAGTGAAGAAAACTGTGGATCAGTTGGTGAAGAATCAACATCAAATAAGAGTGAGATGAAAAATATATACCAAAATGTTTAAATCAGCCCTATATGATGCTCACTGTTAGGTCCATCTTTAAAATATTGAAAAAAAAAATGCCTAGATGCCAATTTGGTCATCAGAACTTTGTATACAAAACACTAACTTATACTCGGTCTGGAAATTTTCCCCTACAGAACCTACCAAAATAAATGGAATGTTCTGAAACAACAAAATATGGGGAAACATTTTCACTTAACATTTATCCACTTTTAAAAATGTTTTGCTGATAGCTGTTTATTCCTTGGTACCGCACTACCTTGTGCTAGCATTTAGTAAGGTATTAGGGACATCTGTACCAGTTTTATCCCATGAGACCTTTCATCACAGTTCTTAACCCAAGAGATGTTTGACCCAAAGAGATTTTTCACCTCAAGTACCACCTTCTTTCACTTGGTTACTGCATGCATTACTTCTTTAAATTTTTTCATTTACTAGTAACAAAAATATATTGTTTATAAATTCTTGGCAGTCTCCATATTTTCCTTGTAAATTCTTAGTTTAACCACATGAATGGTGCCATATTTCATTAAGAGCAAGCGAGGAGGAGGTATTTTAGTGGACAATAGATTCATGTTTTGTAAGTGGCATCAACAAAGTCAGGTAACATACTGGAATTATGTAAACAAACAGAACTGAAGTGAAACTGCTATAACAAGAGACAAACCCTTGGAAGTTAATATCTACTAAAGAACAACCATTATCCCGACCAAAACAAAAGAACATATACTGAAGTACTTAACTAGATGAAGAGACAGACAGTTGAACACCCTGAAATGTCACCCTTTTACACTGAGGAAAAAACTTTAATTGGAAAATCCTAATAGCAAAGAACTGAGACAAGGAGCACATTCCCTGAAAGTTCAGCAATTGTTCCACAATGTGAAATTAACTTTGGGAAACTTACCTGAAGGTCTGCCTGTCTTGGCAAACTACAGGAAGAAAACATATCCAAGGTAGAACCATAAGGGGTACAACGTATACAACACCCAGGTACCCACAAGAAAAGTGGAACCAGTTTCATGCAGCTTAAAGTGGACAGCCAAGAACCAATAATCTCAGCTGGCATAACTGTTTTCAAAAGATGACAGGAAAGCATCAACCTTAATTTCACAATGGAGGTAGAAGCAGGAAGACAGGTGAAGGAGTCACAGGAGCTGAAGTATCATAGGACAACTCAACATTTGCAGACAACAGATTTAGTATTACTATCCCTGAGCATGGGGACATAAGTTTGTCTTCTAGTTCTTTCTATAATGTGCACATATATTAGGCCAAACTGTAAGAACTGAACTGGAAATAAGTAATGCTACAATTATCTCTCGTATAAAAATTAATAATTCAAAAACAGCAAAATGACAAATAGGTTAGTGGATAAAATGTTCCTTTCAGTGATAATTCTTTGGGTTAAAACTGGGGGTCAAATGTTTTAGATGCACCATCCCATGAGTTAAAAACTGTGGATCAAACATCATGAAATCCTAATTAATTCTAAGGTATTCTTTATCATGTTAATGAATATTATTTCTGCAAAAAAATTTCAGGGACTTATAATGATGATCAATATCACACGCTTCCAATTCAATATGGCCCAACTTCTGAGATAAATTACAACTTAACAGATAAATCTAGACTTTCATTTCACGACATTTTTTATGGATTAGACCCTGGAAATTCATCAGCATGAAGCAATTTCCTAAAGTATTAAAAAACTGCAACCAAAAGTTTGCTGCTAGTTCTCATATATCTGTTGCAAGCACGATGTCCATCTATAAAACTATTTCTTAATACTAGTATCTTACACAGTGACAACCATTCACACCATTCTTGCAACAGATTCATGGACAACTTGCTAACTACCTTCATCCACAAATCATTAAGCCAGAAGTAGTAAAGATAAGAAATATTTGTATTTTTTAATGTGGCATATTTTTATTCTAATAATAAAACCCTATGTGTTTGTTTAAATTTCCATTAATATTTTTTTATTTCTGTGTTTTTGAGTGTGCACTGTTTCAATGTTTATTTTTATACTTATCCTAAATGTATTAGTTAATTCTTGTAAGCCTAAATCATTCTAAAATATAACAAAAATGTTATAAAGCTCCTCACTACAGTAATACTTTTCATAACTACAACAGCATGATTAAGTTTCAATTATCATCTGTCCCACACCATATAAAATGTGGCTTGCATGTGTAAGTGTACACTTTGTTGTATGAGACAATCATGTGTTGATTAGTTTACTATATATATGTAATTGCTTTTCACACAAGTGCAAGTGGGGAAAAAATGTTTAAAACATTTTCACTTAAAAAAGCTCATTACTACAATTGCCTCTTTTGACGTTGTGTCCGGAGCATTCGAATTAACTCATTTTCCCTATTGTTATATACTTTTCTTGCATTCAAACGCAGAGTTTACAGACATAAATGTGTGGTTACAGTGGTCAAACAACGTTCTCCCAGTCTTCAAAACCAACATGAAAAATACTGTTAAATATTGCTTTTAAGAAAACACTAGAAATGTAATTAAAAATTAACTTTAATCTTTTCACACATGATATGCATATTTCGATTTTTTGTAGTGACATTTCAAAACATATCTATTTCTTCTCATTTCATCTGTGTACAGCCATTAGCCAATTACAGGAGATTCTCTTGCAATTTCATTACACCATATGCGAAGTGGTTAAAAAATGCACAGCTAACCTCACACCAAAAGAAGCTGGACCTTATAACTAACCTTTTAACAATTAATATGGGTAAAGTAAAATAAATATCTGTGAAAATAAAGAACTGAAGCTACCATTGTACCAGGTGTTAACTTCTAGAAGTAGAATCTCTGGAAAAAATTGTTCCCCTCCTGAGACCACATACTTCAAAGGAAAAAGTAGTAAATAGTTTTGAGCAAATGAAGATGGAATGTTGCTTCTTACTGTCAATTGTGTCAATGTCTAAAATTACAGAATACTGAACAATCCTTACAATCATATCCTTTATGGTACTTCATCTTCTAGAAGTTAATTTCCATTACATGTAAAGTAGTTAATAGTATAAAAAGTCACCACGTACCTCCAAATTCAAGGTTACTAGGTATACCCTATGTGTAAAGAATAAGTAGTGCTTACTTTGACCAACGTGTTTCCATTAATTAAAAATATACACAGCTATCAAAATAACATTCACAACAGATTGGTCAAATCTTATTTCAACCTGCCATTTATGAATTGCTTTTCAGTAAAACATAAAACACAAAGATTCACTGAAGCTGCCATGCAATAAAACAGAAATCATTTTAAATGCTGCATGCTCTTAAAAAGTTAGGCATCAGTGATGGTGTATTTTATGTTACATCATTGGCTGTAATTTATACAGAACAGTTGCCACATTCCTTAATTACTTAATTATATTACGATAACATACAGACTGCAGAGGAAGAATAAATTTGGTACCCCTCATCGAACACACTTAACTGTATTCATTAATGGCTTATGGCACTAAGTATGTCCTCTCCAGTTGGACCCTCTTTCCAAGCTTAAACAAGGTGAACACAATGCTTTCCAGAAGATACAGCTGTGGATAATACCACATATACAGGAAAAATGGGATGTGACACAGGTATTACAAACTGTAATATAAATTAGGATTTGTGCAAAAGGCAGAAGACAGCCATGCTGATTTCTATTATAGGTTCATTAAAATGTAAGATAAAATAATTCTATTGAGACAAGATGAAATAAGCATGAAACACAAGTTCATATCCTGCTAATATAATTAAGGAAAATTATTTAAGATTTCATTTTTATAGGGAAACAACAAATTTTCAATTTTTACATTACACTGTTAAATGCATTGCACGCACAGTAACCTATGAAGGCCATTCTCTACACAACTGGACTAACAAAGTAAAATTACAGATAAAAAAATATATATTATAGGTATTTTACCTAATTTAAATGAATAAACCCTGGATTTTCCCCCTATATTCATACACAGCAATAATGCAATGAAACTACTTCTAGCTGTATGGCAAGAAACACAAAACAGTGAATGTTGGTTCAAAGTAAAGTCACTTATTCACTCACCCCTGTCTTTAATACAACTTAAAACTGTTCATAATCTCTCTTCAATATCATTACAATCACATCAATTGCTACATGTTTCGGCCCTACTTGGCCATCTTCAGGAAACTGTTCATGGGACATACACCCAACTAGTGAGTACATACATATGAAGGGGGCACAAACATGGGAGCCACAAAAGGAAAATAACGTGGAATGGGGAGAGAGTTTTATTCTCAAACAAACACGTTTTAGTGTGAATAACGACATGCAACAGCATGGAAATATATTGACTTATGATCTAGTGTAGTGCAACAGTTTTCAAAAAGTGAACAACTGCCTGAAGATGGCCAAGTAGGGCCAAAACATGTAGCAATTTATGTGATTTTAATACAATTTCAAATTAAGAGAGTGAGTGAACAATTTTAAGGTGCATTAAAGACGAAGGTGAGTGAGTGAGATATCAATGCAACAGGATGCTCTAATATTATATTCAGAGTAAAGTGTCAGGATGCTAAAAAATAATGTAACTGCCAATTCATATTGTACTAATTTCATAATACTCATAACCACTGTGGCTAAAGAAAACTACAACTGGACAGGACACCAATTACAAAATCAATGTTCAAATGATTCATACTCAACTGAAACAATCTTGATATAAAAGTTTCATACATCTTCAAAATTACAATTTTATATGATCACACTACCTACAGTAGGGCTGCATAATTGTGGTGCTCTGTGACTGGTAAGAAACAAATTTAAATACATTATGACTGATGACTTGCCAAACTATAAATGTGGGCAGAAGCTTACTTCTGTAAGAAAGAATATTGTGTTTATTTCTTGTATGGCATTGAACCCAACTTTTTCTTAGGTGTATCTACGTGTTTATTAGACAAACCTCGCAGTAAAGTTGAGTTATATTGGATGCTTCATCCAGACATGGGGCAGACCATTTATATCAGCAGGCAGTACTCATATTCCACCTAGACATAAGCAAAACCTTGAGCTTTATTGGATGCTTCATCCAGGCACAGCACAATTTATGACAGCAACAAATAATGCTTCAAGAAACTCAATTTCTGTCTTATATTTAATTATATTTTTATCATATAACTGTAAATGAAAGTGTGTGGATAATTAAACTGATTTTTACAATTTTGAAGTTTTATAATGTGATGCTTGTTTCACTAATACTTAACAGATTTAGAATGGAACAGTAAACATTGAGTTTTAATACAGGGTCTACCAAAAAGAATGCCAGAGTTTCAAACACCTGCAACAAAGGAAAAAAAAAGGTATGACAATGTTGGTACTTGCAGTGTAATTGTAAACTCAAACAGTTTCACTGACACAAGTTGCGTTGCACATCCAAGCTGTTAATGGACTGCTTTGGTTATGTGTTCTGCACAATCAGTACAATTCCTATTATACAGCAGAAAACAGGGACCATGTTGTGGTGCGCAAAATTTGAAAACATTATTTAAGTTTGATGTGAATTTAGATGTACTATGGTGAGACCACCTCATAACAGCAGCATTAGGAGATGGTATAAGCAATTTAGAGAGACTGGCAGTGTGGAAAAAAGGAAATTGTACTAGGGGATCTGATGAAAGTGTGGATCATATTAGGCAAGCTTTCATACGAAGTCTGAAGAAGCTGATCTCCCGAGCAAATGCAGAGTTACAGATGTTATGGCTGTCCACAGAATTCTTCGGAAGAGCCCTAGTCTAAAACCCTATAAATTACAGGTAGTCCAGAAACTTACAGCATGTGATAAACAGCTTATACCTCAGTGAGCAGCACAAGTGCACACAAATTTTGGAAAACAATTCTGTAAGCAGTATTGTTTTCATTGATGCAAAATTTAATGTCTCTGGATGCTTCAATCAGCATAGCTGCATCATCTGGGGCTGTGCACCTCCCAAACATTTAGAATATGAATGGGAGTCTTGAAGTGAACAAGTGGTGTGTGTTAACATACAGAAGAGTCACTGACACAATTTTCACCGATGAAGACATCATTACAAGTGATTCACTCCTAGGTATGTTGGAAAAAGTATGTTCTTCCACAGTTGTACAGCAGCAGCAGCAGCAGCAAAAAGCTGATTCTCACCTAGACGCGGGATGTAATGATTTTCCTCACAACATCCATGATGGTATGAATGCGTTTCCCAGGTTGACAGGAAGTGGAGGACAACTGCATGGTCCCCTTCTTCTCATTTTATGCCTTTGGACTTTTTTCTTTGTGGCTATGTGAAAGATCACACATACAGCCAACCAGTGAATACAATGGAAGAATTCGAAGCACAGATCACTGCAGCAGTTGCAAATGTTGCAATGTTATAGCGTGTCTCGCAAGAGGTGAACTACAGGTGGGATGTATGCAGAGCTACATATGGTGCTCACTGTAAAGTGTTTCATGTGTAACAATTTTTCCATTTGTGTGCAAAAATAACTGTTTCAAGTGATGAATAAAATATTGCAAACAGTACCCTCATCTGTTTTCATTCCCAAGTTACAGGTGCCTGAAATCATAGCACTTTTTGGTAGACCCTCCATATCTAATGTTCCTTTAAAGTAAACATGAAACATGTGGTGAATTTGAATTTCACTGTGTTCTGTATCAGCTAGTGAGAATATAACAAGTTGTAACACTCACTCTGAATTCTGCCCCTCTAGATGGTAAGTGTTGAATTATCCCACTCAAGATCCTTAACCTTTCCTCCTTCGGCACCTTCTTCTTCTTCATCCTCATCTGAAGAGTCCAAGTCGTCATCACGATAACTTGAACCATCATCTGATGAGTCATCATCATCACCACCAGCACCATCACCACCACCAGCAGTGTTACCACTGCCTGGATGATTGCCACCACTTGTTCGACCTCCAGTCTGTCCAGCAGACCCATCCAACTGCTAAATACATTTACATAAATCAGATGTGCAGAACACATGTATGCATCTCCAGATCAAACAGTAATTAGCTCCAAGATGAAGTTACATAATATAAGTACATTTAGCAAATGTCCATTCAGTTCAGATAATCATTCTGTCCTGTCTGCTATCCTGATATGGGAACTTGTTTCTCCTCTTGTGTCAGCAGTTGTGGAATGAACTTGGTTGAAAAACAGGGGCTGCACCATAGCTCAAGCGGTTAGTCACCAACTTCCCACCGTGGCGGCCCGGGTTCAATCCCTGGTCTGTTCAAGTGGGAATTGTGGTGGACAAAGTGGCACTGGGGCAGGCTTTCTCTGAGTACTTCAGTTTCCCCTGCCAATCTTCATTCCACCAACTGCTCCATAATCACCCTCACCTATCATCTGGGGCTGGTACAAGGGACTTAGTCACAGCGCACTAGCAATAAAAAAACAAAAATAGTTGAAAAACACCTCATTCTCAACTTCAATCAAAATGATCCAACAAGAAATTTATACTTGTTTGCCAATTTCTTGGAAAGTTACTCTTCTGTCATTTCATGCTAAATCACACACTTCAGTTCCTGATTCACTTGTGTTGATCATTCACCATCTTACATGCAACACTACATCTCACAAAACTTATCACCTTTACAAGTTTAAAAGTTTAAAAGTTTTAAAATACACGTGTTTCAGCAAACATGGCCACAAGAACACAATTAGGAGGAGCATAACACACCAACCACGACACACAAGCATCAGAAGGGACTTGCATCTGCATCAGCACAAGTGAAAGCAGCCATTTCCCCATTAGGCATATTTTTAACACCTGATGATGGTCATGTTGACTGAAATATGTAGTGCATTTTAAAACTTTAAAAATCTGTTAAACTTGTAAAGGTGATAAGTTTTGTGGGATGGAGTGTTGCATGTAAGACGATGAATGATTGACGCAAGAGAAAAGTGCAATTGGATGCTATGATACAATATCCTGATTCACTGTTTCTACTGGCTAAAGTGTGTCCAAGACATCATTTCAATGGACAACAGTCCTTTAAAACAACATAACTAAAGAACTATGCTTCAGTCCAAGTGTTATCTGCAAGGAAATTTAAAACACATCTGTAGCTCTGTATTCTTTGGCATGAAGTTCTATATCCTGACCACAGATGACTTATGCAGTGGAATAAGATGTACACATATCTCGATATGTCAGGATACATTAACCTTTAACGTCTGAATGGCACATATACGTCGCAAGCAGCAACCGGAGTTGGCCTAATGACACATATATGTGATGCAGGACACATGCACTCTTTGGGAGTGCTGACAGTTTGACCTTGGGTTTGAAACCAAAACAAACCTATGTGAGGTCATGTCAGTGGTTCATTCCTTAGCTCTGAACAAAGAAACCGTTTATCACGGTACTGGTTTCAATACTATTTACGTTTAGATATGACTGTTTATGACCTGGTCAGCCAAATATAGTCCAGCTTTGTTTCGAGAACTGATGAGGAAATATTTATCGGTGTTTGCATATGAGTGCTTCCAGAGCCTTCATGGAACTCTGACGCATTCAAGGATTGGTTTTCAGTGGAAAATTATCAGTCAGGAAGTCGGTGTCGGATTGTCTAATATTTCTTTATCAGTTAAAAGTTCAGTGTCAGACTGGATATATTTCTTTATATATCATTTTTATTTTGTGTCTTGGAAGCGGTATAAATCCATTGAGCCAGTATTACTTTGTGAGTAAAAGGCATCTTCGCCACTGCGACTTTCAGTATGTGCCGGACTGGCACTCTTTTCGACTAGTATTATACTTACTTTGCATCACTATTTTGCGAGTATTACCAACAGGTGAGAGTGTCGCTTTGTCAATCAACATAATTTATTTGATTTTGCTAGAAACCCCCCCTCCCCCAAGATGATTCTTCAATCGCACAAGCCGAATATCACGGTCAGTGGCGCTTCTCAGGGGAAGGTCAAAGTTATCAGGGGGCCCAACTGAGTTGACTGGAGGTGAAACATTCACATCACTGGCCAACCAAAGGAAAACAAAGACGCTGTCATGTGTTTCGCTAAATAAGAAAAGCAGGAGCACGCTCTTCTATTGTAAAAAGTGAGCTGTCGCTTTGTGTGAAGTGGACTGCGCGTCAGAGTGAATCGTAAACTGTGAAGTGACTCAGTTCAAACTGTGTACAGTCTGAACAAAATATTCTTGTATATAGTGTGATTATATTTACAATATCACAATGATTCAAGGTTGAAGAAAAAACAATGGGTAAGTCCTTTGGAATTTCATAACATATATAATAAAGATTATATTTTGCAATTCATGACAAAATAATCACAGTTAATTTTCGTTTGTAAAAATTGCTCCTTTGTGTATATGTAGAAAATTTTATTGTTCTTCAGATTGTTTTTAGTTTGTATTTCTATGTTGCATAGAACGGAAAATGTGGATTTTTTTCTGAAAGTTTGCAATGTTAATTAATTAGGGCAATTTAAATATCGGCCGCAGAGGGCTGCCGGCAATTTAAAAGTCTGTACATTAAAGGTTAATCACCTGTACTTGAATGCATTTTAGAACAGGTGTCTTTCTGCATGATATGACAAGGAAAAAAGAAAAGGGAAAGTTAGAATCTAGAACATACAACCTAAATTATTTCTATACTACCTCCATTGGATTCACTGTGATGGTAAGAGCAGAATCATCCCAGGCCATTTCTGTATCGGCAATCTCTTCCTGTGCAGCGCGGTGGTGTGCAGCTCGGATACGAATCACCCCAAGGACTATCATGAAGAGCAAGAACCCGACACACACCACAATGATGATTGTTACAGCATGACCTGAGAATAAATGTGTCACTATACAAAACCTCATTAACAGGGCTCCAGAAATAGAATTCAAATATATCAGCCACTTACCAAATCCACTTGACCACAGCCATACAGTATGTTTCATACATACACCTTACGCACATTTAAGAAAATGATTCCGAACGCGATGACGAGGAAATAAAAGTAATACAGTGAGATCACATATTAAGCAAGCATTTGTTGAATTTGAAAAGCTGGGATCACGCAGTCAATATAGCAATTGGCTATGGGCTGGAGTTTTGAGTCCTAGTGGGGTCAAGAATTTCCCTTCTCCATATCATCCAGACCAGCTATGGTGCCTATCCAGCCCCCAATTCAATGAGTGCCAGGGGCTGTTCCCCCGGAGTGTAGAGTGGCCAGGGCATGAAACTGACCACTCACCTCCAACTAGCGCTGAGGTGAAGAAAACATGAGTCCATACATCCACTCCCCATGTCTTCATTGTGTAATGCTTAATTAGTTAAGCCCAGGGACAACTTTTTACCTTTTTTACTTGTTGAATTTGATGTTCGCACAGTGATGATTATGAAGAGTGAGATTTTCTGGGTTGTAATGTCATCTGGCTCAGCATAAGCCCACTGATGTTTTGGAAGAACATTTCACCTCCAGGTTCAGGGTAGAAGAGTAAGAAAAGCAAGATTCCAGATCATATTCTTCAATGGTATTACTTCCCTTATATGTTGAATTTTGATTTAGTAAATAACCTAGATTTGGTGTAAGTAATTTTCGACCTGTGAAAACATGTACCTCAGTTTAGTGAGACTGTGGCTGAAACCGTAATAGTCGCGCCTTCTGTCAGAAGCCGGAACACAAAACAGCTGTATTTATTTCACATGCCATTAATATCTTCTGAAATGTATTTTATATTACTGACTACGTAACTGTAGGTGGTGGTGTGGGCAGCAGTACTATTTTCTAACAGTGTTCCATTTTGTGTCATTAATTTTGTGCAGAAATAGTTTCTTCATTTACTTACATAAAGAAATTATTTTGTAACATAAAGTGAGCCTTACATGAACATAAACAGTTTGACGTAATCTTGCGTACGCCCCGTTCAGTGTAAACTTCATTTCAGTATACGAAAAGCTGTACTCCCAGAGTCATTAACTAGGGATTTCACTCTACAATCTTTAACTTAGTTTCTGCACCTGAAAAGTGACATCACTTACTTATTAAAGTTTCTTACACAGTCAGAATAAAACTAAAAATTTACTCAGGTCTAGTCTCCTGTCATGTGGCTGTCACAAGTGCATGAATATATCACTGCAGCCATGTTCATTATGCTATGAGGGGGGGGGGCGATGAATGTGTACAGAATTTCAGTAAGGTAACTTCTTAACACATTCCCGCTTTGAAGTTCGAGAAGGAGCTGACAGGAGAATGTTAAGAGAGAATCAGGAAAACAGGCTGTCAGGATGGGACGCAGATATATCTGGCTTAGGATTGTGTCCAATGGCAGGTTCTGGTATTAGCGGTGTTCAACCTTTAGTACTACCAGAGTAAGTTTTTAGTTCTTAATGTGAATTAAAGCTGTCACATACTTCCACCTGCAACTGCAGCTTGTGTGGAATCCATATTTGTTGCCATGTACACATCACTGATGGTCTGAGCTGGTCTCAGTTCAGCATGATGCCTGTCCATATGTACATGAGCCGGCTGTGCCTGCATCTGTGCTGATTCTACAGCTGCAGCTCCACCGCCATGGTGACTTGATTCAGCTGCCTTCTTGTCACTATGTTGGTCCAAGGATGCTGGAGGACTGGACGACTTTGAGTTCAGGCTTTTACTTGCTGGTAATCTTGGGTGGATCACTGTTAGCTAAGAAAGAGTCAAATCATATTAACTGTTGATTATAAGATACAGATATGTATACAACAGAATACTTTGTTAGAAAATTAAGAACATGCAGAAATATATACCATCACATCATAGAGTGACTATAGACGGGGGTCTGGTTTACTATCTGGATTTATTGGACACTTTACAGATCACCATCATACAGTCATAGTCTTCAGTGCACTGCTTGGTAGTGGCTTCCAAAGGTGGACGTTCCCCTTCCTCTGGACTCCCAAACTGTTTCAGGCCTCAGCTACCAGCTTCCGCAATTTTCAACTGTCTGCCTGAGTGCTAATGGCAGCTGCTCAGCATGAACTGTACAGAAAAAATCACTTCCCACAGCTCTTTTACTGTTGTGTGCATGTCTGCTGAGGCCTTCATGTGATGGCTACTGAGATATTGCATAGAAATGGGCACATTTATGGAGCCAATCCCTAGCAATGGCTGTCTTTACTGGATTCACAATTATGACTTTACAGCAGACATGCCACATCCTCCTAACGGTATTCATCTCGAGCAGCCTACAGGCATGACACCTTTCTCCTTTTTCCGGTTGGTGTGGGCAAAAGTTACAAGAGTGGTCGGTGCTCCAACATCTCTGGCTCTTAAGCGGCGTGCAGTCTCTTCTTTAGCTTGGGCGATGGCTGGGCCCTCCACAGTGTTGAAGCCCACTGTTCGAATCCTGATGGAAGACTCAGCTGCTAGCTTGACGACCTGCAGCACTATGGTGTCTCAGGGCCTCGCTGACATTTCTCTTGCTTCCCAGTCATAGCTGCTGTTTCAGACCTTGGTTCCTTATGACACTATGATTTCAGTTGTGACCATCGTCTCTACTTGAACATCCATCCCTTAGGTCACCTTTTCAGTGGGTTCCAGCATTCCGTGACCAGTCCCTGATTGGTCCTCCAGTGCTCCGATGTTCTCCACTTTCATCTCTTCTAGGCATGCTTCCATCCTTATTTCTACTTTTTCCTGATTCCCCTCTATCTTTTATAGATAGGACTCCATCATCTCAAGACTGACATCCATCCTTTCTTGACTGGCTTTCACTGCAGACACCAGCTCCTCATGGTCAGCTTCTGTCTTAGCCTGGTGGATATCCATCTGGGAGACAAGAGCACCTACCTTTGATTTCATCCCTTCTTGACTAGTTCACACATTTTCTACAAGAACTGCAAACCTTCTTGTTATTGGCCTCTACCTTGGCTTCCATACTTTCTTTGTTTTCATTCCTTCTTGATATGAATCCATCTTTCCTTGCATGGCACTCATTTCAGCCAGCAGGTGTCATCAGTTGTCCTATTTCCATAGTATGGCAATATAATGAGCCAATGTCCAGACACCAATTTTCACATGGCAGAGTGACTACAGACGGGGTTTAGATTTGTAATTGGATTTACTGGACACAACAATGGGCTTACAAGTAAAAAAAACAGGCTGCCGCAATAGAACATCTGAAGAAAGGGATGCAGATCAAAGGCAGTTGACACCATGTGTGAGGTGTAATAAGAATTTTACAAAATTTAAATTAAGTGAACTACAGCGCATACCAACTATGATTATGACGTTTTAAATCATGAAGCGTGCAGTTGCATAAGTGACGAATAGACAATATTAGTGCAGTGTAGCATTTTTAGCATAGTAAGACACCTGAAGATGGCCACTTAAGGTTGAAACATGTTGTGTCAAAAATGAAAGTGTAAGAAAGAAGGAACAATTTGTTGTGTTGTTGATGGATTGTGTAGTACATAAACAGTTTTAGATATAGTAATGAAACAGGATGCTTAAAAACAGAGAATTCATATAGATTCACAGAAAGTTGATCCATTTTGGCAGAAATTTTGATGAGGACATATATATATATATATATTATTTGTTTACAGACTGTAACTCTCACAAATATGTTGTTGAATTTTGCTGCATCTCAATATTTTCTTTGTCGTAGTGCTTCTTAAGGGTGAGAATTTTAGTTACATTATAAACCATCATTTGAGAAATTCAAGGTGATATGAAGAGTTAAAATGTCAAGTAATCTTATGAAGTTTGCATGCAAAAACTACTATGTAAATACCTGGTTCTCTTCATCAGTCAATTACAAAAATAAAATGCAATGTCATAAACATCTTATTCAAACCATGTTATGTTAAATGTAATGATGGTTGTGAAATAAATCAGTTCTGCTGCACTCCTAATCCTATTATAAACCCTTACTTAAACTGCAGGAATTCTATATCAAAATGCAATTCAGACTTCTTTAAATAATATTTTCACAGGAATTCTTGTTGAACAGGCAGAGAATGAAACTCAACTGCACATCAATATTTCAAATTAAATTTTGTGGAAACTTTCTCAGAAGTATGTTAATCCTTGCCAGTCACGGTAGCCAAGCGGTCTAAGGCATGCACTGTGTTTGCTTGCTCGGAAGCCGGGATCGTGTGTTCGAATCCCACTCAGGGCATGGATGTTTGTGTGCGTTTTTCTGAGTTTGTCTACAGGTAGAGGTCTTGCAACGAGCTGTTCACCCAAGGAGTCCTACCGTCTGTGTAAGATCTAGAAAAACCGAAGTGAACGGAAGTTCATGGAGGCAGGCCTAGGCCCACTAGAGTTGTAGTGCCAAGGGGGGGGGGGAGTTAATCCTTTCCAGTCATTATGTTGGTATATAATTGACATGGTGACAATACTTCTACAGACAAATGCCAATATATTGTGACATGTATAACCATTGCTGGGCAACGGAAGGTGGAACGAGTTACCACAAAGACAGACCCTTGATAAACGGTGGGTTGCCAAGTTACAAAACAGTAAGGAAAGCAGTGTTTGTCCATGCCGAGCCGAGCCAAAGCGTGCTGTTCGCTATGTGGCGTTGCCCATCAACATGGCGTCACGCAACAGGGGAGCCCGTGCAGCAACTGTTGCTAAGCAATCGGTAAACACGATGTCATGCAACAGTGAAAGCTATCACATAACTGTTTTCTGTGTTGTCAGTGCGGAAGCTACATAACAGGAGTATTTGTCAGTGAGAGAGTTACTAGAGTAGTGAGAATGGAGTTACGAGTGAATGGCAGTAACTCCAGCATGAGAAGTAATCGTGATACTGTGAACTGTAGTAATTGTGAAACTGTGAATTGTATAAATGTAAGAGCGAGTGGAGTAAATTCGCTATATCCAAGACGGCATGAAGTTATTTTTCGCGTGACATATACCCAACACGTGACAATATGATAAGACAAATCTTCTTTCGCATTTCTTTGGTCATATGTCAATCATAAATTGCTAGTGGCTACTGTATACTATGCCACTGCATTCATGAATGTTTTGCTTGATTTCTTCTGCCATCTGGAAGTCATAATTTGAACTCCTTGATGAGCAAATTCTGTTTATATAATTTATGGTGTGTCATATGGTAGTGGCATGGCATCACATTCCAGCAAACTTGGCCCTTCTGGCTTCAGAAAACGAAAATATAATCCTCTGTGTGATGTGGATGATGAAGGTAAATGAAGAACTCAATATTGAGTATAATGACGAGATGGATTTGGAAATTGAAGGAGAAACTGTGAATAAAGAATTGAGCAACAAAAAGTCACAAAGTGAGAGTGAAACAATTGGTGCAAGTGTTGATGGGTGACAAGAAGTGATGGAAACCCAAGGGATTCACATTTACTAAGAATGCAGGGCCACAATTTACCCTTCTGTTAGATGCTGAGCCCATGGATTATTTTAGTTTTTTTTTCATTGATGAGCTTTTGAATAACACTCTTATAGAACAAACAGGTGAGAGACAAAATTGTGGAATTTCAGCTAACCCAAGGTCCATTTGGAATAGGTGGTGTGATGTCTCTTTCCCCAATATGAAGGCAAGTACTTCTATCCATAAACCGGATGTCATGCATCCCTACAAAGCATAAAATTTGTCTTCCTGTATTGTACCCAAAGTATATTTTTTGCTTTCACTTTATGCCTTTGCTGCACCAAATTTTTGGCACAACAGTTAACTCATTGGCTCTGCAGGAATTTAAATCACCTTCGTGTCCTGGTTGCAAAAATTTCTAACAATGTGATGACTGGAAAGGGTTAAATATGGTTGGTACTTCGGACATTGTCCACTGCTCTTTAAATTCATGACGTTCAATAGAAAATTTAAAAAATGAATAACAAACTCCAATATTTTAAGAACTGCTTGTGTTCTGATTATATCAAACCTGGAACACTATGAATTACAACAAAATGGAACGCATCAGTATGCGTTCAATAACATCTACATCCGCCCCCAACCAACCATCCCTGTATCCTATTATCTGTCTAGATATTTTAATTATACGTCCATTAATATTACACAATAAAATAATGATTGTACACAAACTGTGTTACGAACACAGATAGGGCAACTAAAGTTAAAACTATAATACATACTGTTTGTACATATTCATTGCTCATGAATCTGCCATTCAATTCTGAACATGCAAGCTTGAATACACGGTTCAGATAATAAGCAGGTTTCCTGTTGGTGTACTGAATTTGACGCAACACCTGCCAAACACAAACAAAATTAATTGATAAATTATAATACAAACACCTTCTGACAAGACAGGTTCACTGCAATGCCAGTAAATTGTTGGGGCAGTCACATTTCCACCTACTGACAACCCATGTAAATACCAACATTTATGTAAAATATGGGCAGTAACAAATATTTTCCCACCCATCACTGGGACAAGAATTTTCTGTTCTCCATGTCATTCAGATTGGTTCTAGGGCCCACCTAGCCTCCTATCGAATGGGTACCTCTAACTAGTGCAGAGGTCAAGAAAATGTGGATTCATACATCCACTCCCCCCTATGTCTTCATGGTGTAGTGCTTAATTACTTAAGCTCAGGGACAACTTTACCTTACCTTCTACCTCTACCATCAACTCAATAAAATCCAACCACATGAATAAAAACTGAAATAATGTGAAAAAGTTTTCTACTTTCTGTTAATCCTTGGCAGTTGACTTATCTTTAATTTCCATGTAAAAATGTACCACATGTAAGAATTTGTTCTTATTCTTTTATTTATAGAGCACAAATATTTATGTACTCTCCAGATTGTTTCTTTAACTATTAGAACAGAATGTTTGTTCTCTGGTACCATGTCTTGATTTGAAGATTCAAGAGTTAAGACATAAGAACAAAAGCTGGCAGAGGGAATCTAGAGAGTAAAATGTGCTTTGCACCATGATGGGAGGCTGGAGTCCTGTTTTTTCCAAAGTTCATGCTTCCACAAAAAAAAAATTGTATATTGGCAGGACTGGTGATAACCCCAGGACTCACATAATAAAAACCTGGTGTTTTTACTCTTGGACATCTGATCTTCATTAATCAGGATGTTATAATGTTATGGTTTTCTAAATTATGTTTTTAAGTAGTATATTATAGAAGAGCCACCTACAACAACATGCATGTAACAATAGCCATTTTCATTTGCAGTAGAAAATTTGATACTTATAAACAGAAAGAAAAATGTTCCTCTAAACAGCATTAAACTAAGAATCAATTGTGTTATTTGCTACAAACATACCTGTTCATAATTGTAGATCATGTCAGCTCCAGAAACAACAACACCATCCTTGTTAACTTTAGCAACAATTCCAAACTGAGTCAGCATGTTTTCAGGCAGAGTCACTGTCTCATGATCAGGATTCAGTGGAGGATACACAGAAACAGTGCAGGAATCCAACTGTTTCTCAATGACACTCACTGGCTCTCCTGAAATATACTTACAGGTTACCAATGTGATATTACTGTATTAGCAAATCTTCAACCAAATATTTATTATGCTTGTGTAAAATATGTGAACACTATATTATTCAAGAGCATAACTTACACACTTTTACTCTCAAAAATGTCTCAAAGCAGTGGTACACAAAATACGCTAAATTAATTTTTATAGTCTAATATTACATGCTTTATTGTGGTGATTACAGTTGAACGTGATATGGCACTATAGTATGAATATTCATGTGTATGGACTCCATGACAATTCTTGATGAACACTGAGTTGAAATATCTCTTTGATAAAATTTTGATAAATGCATTTAAAAGCTGAATGCAATGTGGCATCATGGTATGGATATTCATGCCTATGGATCCTACCACAAAATTCCTTGATGAATACTGAGATGAAAAATCCCATGATAATATTTCTACCTATATATAATTTTTATGTAAAATACAATTAAAGGTCACCTTCCCCAAAAATTTCTAGCTCAGAAATTTATGTGCATGAATTACATGGGTAAATTAGTACTCTTCAAAGCATAATTTTACATGATACTGAGGTCAGGAAAATTATGGTTGCATAATACTGATAAAAAGATGAGATGGGGGGAAGTGACTTCATGCCTTTTATGCATAATTCATAACCACCATTTTGAATCCAATTATTTAACTGCTATATTTCCCCATTTTTAACTCTATCTTAACTCCCTAATTCTGTTAATTTAACACAAGATAAATCGAATGTTACAAAGCCTGTGGCTATGTTGTATGTAATAAGGCATCCAACACACAGCGAATTTGACAGGGCAATGCCACCGACGAAGATAATTTTTGTGACAGATTCCCCTTCAATTTCCTAAAAGTGCAGCCAAGTACAGATCACTCACTCAACACAAGCAACAAAGCGAAAAGCAAATGCGTGCTGATGATGGCCAACATTATAAGCCACCCCTAGTCACAAAGGGATGTAGGGTGGATGTTTATACTTAATTTTACAGTACTATATGTTCTGCATTACCAGTGAACTTTTGCTTGTCCTCAACTACTATGACTGATGAAGAATTTTCAGTGCCATTAGGCTATCTTAAAGGTCTAGAAAAAGAAATGAGCAAAGAAAACTGTGAACAGAAGTAACAGAGACAACATTATTAACCCTTTAAAGCCCAGTGGTTACTATATGTACCACCTGCTTTAACATACTAAATTGCACTGTACCTACACAGTGCATTTGTGTGTTTCATATAGTTCCATAACTTTGTTATAAACAGCCATGAATTCCAATTTTTTTGTAACTTTTCAGAATAAGATCAATCCATTTCCAAGTCCTAAGTCCATGCATTTTTATTAATAATTCAGATGCACTAGCTTGGACTGAAATGTAATGCTGCTGCAGATCATATCTTAGTATTTACTTCAGTACTTTCAAAGAAACTAAATATACATTTTGCCAATCAAACACAGTTAAAAATAAAATATGACTCCTTCAATGTAAGGTTAAAGTAAACTTAAGTTGATGGTCTATGATTTGGGCTACCCACTGCATCTGATATTTAGACAACCAAACATTTAGTGTTTACTTAGAATACAATGAGCAATCCATTCTAATAATAGTACCCACAGTGCATGCACTGGCAGCAAAATGAATATGAATGCCCCTGACCATGAGTTACTCCACAGTTGTGCCTCTCACCCTAACCACACTGGCTAGTCCCCAGGCCTGTATTTCTGAGCCAATCAAGAGTAAATGGCTGCCTTTTTATCTCAGAAGCGTCAACATGCACGGTTTAGAACTATAACGTATAAACAGAGAACATGGATTATATAAAGGCAATTCTTTATTGGAGTCCATCGTAACACAACATGATGGTCAAGCTTAAAATTACCTCAGCTACATGTTTCGGTTTTTAAAGCCATCATCAGGCAAACATATGACTACTATATTCTCACACTACTGAACTGCAATTGTGATAGTAATGCTGGATACTTGATAGGTGTTACATTACAAAATACATGGTATAAAAATACAATGAACTATAAAATTATTATAAAAACGATAGTTATGGAGTAAAATATGGTTAAAAACTCTTCATGTGATACTACATATCATGAAATCAGTTGTTGCACTTGTTATATTCCTGCAGACATAATGGTATATTCTAGACTTGTATACATATACGTAGGTCGTACTGAAAGTCATGAGCAACTTCTTTTTGCATGCAACCTGGGAACAGCAGATGAAAGAGACTAAGGTGGTAGGTGGAACCAGCTGTTGTGTTAACCTTGAGTGTCTTGTGACATCAATAGCTTGCATCACATGACCAGTATAACTTCTAACAAAATGGCCAACAACGACATGCTGTTTCACCAGCATGCTTATGGAAGTGTGTGCATGGGTGCGAGCAGTGTTTGAAGATGGGTGAAACATTTTAAAGATGGGAATACCAGCATCAAAGGTGAGCCTCGGAGCGGTTGTCCTCAAACAGCTTCAACTGAACACAACAAGGAAAGAGTGGATGAGATCATTCAAGATAACAGGTGTGTGACTGTGGACACAATAGCCCGAAAATTTGGAATAGGGCACAGTGCAGTACAGGAGATGATTGACAACCTGGGCTATAGGAAAGTTTGTACTCGTTGGGTCCCACAGTTATTGACCGAAGACCACAAAGGTCAGCGAAAAGCCATCACCTCAGAACTGCTGCAGATATATCGACACGAAGGCGATGATTTTTTGCTCTGTATTGTGACAGGTGACAAAAGCTGGTTTCACCATTTCGAGCCTGAAACGAGAGTATGGAATGGCACCATTTGCATTCTCCATCAAAAAAGAAGGCAAGGACAGTGCATCAGCTGCGAAGGTGATGGGCACAGTCTTCTGGGATGCAGAAGGGTTTATTCTGGCCGAATTCCTGGAACCTGGGTAAACCACCAATGCTGCTCGTTATTTCCAGACGCTGCACAAGCTCCGTCGTGCATTGCGTGATAAACGTCCGGGACGAAACATCATCATCCTGCATGACAACACTCGCCCCCATGCTGCTCGCCTCACATTGGAAGCAACTGCAAAGTTGGGGTGGGAAGTTCTTCCACACACCTCCTATAGCCCTGATCTGGCACCCTCAGACTACCATTTTTTCAGATTTGTGAAGGATCAGCTGTGTGGACATTTTGAGACAAGGGAAGCAATTCAGAAAGCAGCGCGTCAGTGTCTTTAGGTGGCTGGAACAGAATTTTACAGAAGGGGAATTTTCAAACTCCCAGAACGCTGGGAGAAATGTGTACAAAGAAGTGGTGATTATGTGGAAAAATAAAGAAAGGTCTGTAGACTGAGGTAGTGTATTTGGTTTTTCAATAATAAAGCATGTTACTTTAAAAAAAACTGTTGCTCATGACTTTCAGTATGACCCTCGTAGTAATCTGCTTGGAGGCCTGTGGTATAGATGTAGTATTATTTGACATTAATTGTTTGGCCAGTCCCGCATCTTACAATGTACTTTTTCCATTCTGTTGGGAATACAGATTGCACTGCAACTGTTGTGTTATGACGTACTCCAATAAAGAACGGTATACTATAACAAAACAGGATGCATGGGGGGGGGGAGGGCAAAATTACCTGATCAATTATTTACATTCATATTTCATTAATGTAGAATTTGCAACCAAGAAAGACATGGTATTTCATTTCATTCTTATATTTCTTGTCTAAAAGAAGGGGTGCATAAATTAGGCAGTGGCATGACTTATGTAAGTAAATAGTATACCATGTTTATTACAACACAATTTCAAAGTAGATGGGTCATGAGTATACAAAACTCCATACCATGTTTCCACTGCTTCTGGCCCTTGACCTGACCAACAGTAATGTGTACATCTGTGAAAACCCGGACTCCAAGCCTGAAATCTTCATATTCACGTGCCACATTGCCTGTTCCATTGATATCAATACTAGGTTGCTGGGGCTGAAGCACCATAACATAACTCTCTACACTAGGTACTTTCACAGGCCGACCACGCTCACACCTGGAAAATAATACTTATTTTGAAATATTAAATACCACAATTCATGTTTAGCATAGGTTTGGACAATACATTTCTCATCAACCTGATAATACATAAGACTGAATTTTGTGATGAAGACAAGCTTGTTAGTAGCAAGTTACTTACATATTACTGTATAAACAATAATGTCTTCTTCATCAATATATGGAATTTTTCTGTATTCTGGAGAAGTATTCCAAAGGCATTACTTTAAAACCTTGGGTTTTCAGGAAAGAGAAAAAGCAGTGTCAACTGAAACTCACGTGACAGTTGTTGACAGATGCAAATTACGCCTGCCAGGTGTTGGAAATTGACGGGTATTCGTGTAGCCAACTTTCCTTACCAGGATCACCAAATTTGTTTTGTTGTCACCCTCAATGCTGAGTTCAGTCAGGTCTGCAAAAACATTATCAGCAAACAAACAAATGAAAATCTTAATTACCTGCAATATAACTGCCAAATGACGGTGAAAGTGTTTACCCACATACTAAATGTTTATTCCAATTTTCATTCCAGAAGTTGGGGTTCAACTTCTATGTAATACAAAAACACTGTGAGATGCTACAAATATATACGTATTCACTTCGTGATTGCATTTCACTTGATATGTGGTCAATTAGTTCATATGTTTAATGTTATGCCCATAAGGTTCTATCATTAAAGCATAGGGCATAAAATGTTTACTTTCTTCACAGAACTGAATTATGTGACATTCGTAATTATGCTGCAGTTTTTCTTGCTCATTTGCTTGGACTTTACTGCACTGCCACCCTCAAAAGTGTTCACCTTCTCTCAGCTATGGATACTTGGAGCACAAAGATGTTTCCACTTCAGTAAATGTACCCTCCTTTTAGAACAGTCCAGTGTGTCCAAGTAATTTATTTTGAAGGAGCCCACCAGCTACTAAAATATACACAAAAATGTGTGTGTTAATGTATGATGTTTTGTCAAAACATGGGAGGGATGCAACAGTAAGCCTCCTATTGACTGTCACCTTGTTAACTATGTTGCTACGATGTGACTACCAGATTGGCAACAGAATTTGACTGCCAAATCCAGTGCTCTCCACGAACCACTGCATTCTGTTTATTAACACTGTGCAGAGTTTAACACACAAAAGAAATGGAGCAATATTTTATGCACTGCCCAGTATTTAGCTTAACATTAAATTCCAATCTGTTAAGTTTCTTGTTTACAACCAGTCCTCTGGAGAAACTGTTGTAAGAACTTCACTGCAATACATTTTGTGTAAATTAGAGACCAGTAAATATGAAGGTGACAACTAGAAAAAGTGTACAGTGCCACAGTGTTCTAATACTCAACATACTACACATTACACAAGTTTCCAATCTGTATCTGCTGGCTACCTATAAGACATAACATGGACACACCATATTGTGCTAGCCAGATATATTTAGCCCTTTGGCGCGGTCATTTAAATTCCGCGGCCGCGTCTCTGGCGGTAATATATTCAGCCGTCCATTTAAATTTTGCTCGAAAATGATTTATTCATCATTGTTCTTAAATTCTATGAGATAGGAACATGAAACTTTCACTAAAATGATCTAAAAAGGTGGTTTTATAACCTTACCTTATAATATGAGCAGCCGGTATCTCGGCAATGGAAGCAGTTTGTTTAGAATTTGAGCNACATGAAGGAATGAGTTCTTTTCCCTCCCCCACACACATCCGTATCGTCTCAGGGGGTGACCACAGTGTTCTGCCTTAAATTGTGGCGTTTTTCTAAGAACTGGGCCTTTGTACTGTGCGAAATCAATCGATCTTGCAAGAATAAATGTTTGGACATCCCTATTCTAAGAATTCCAATTGAGTGTGTTAGTGTGGCCAGCTCAGGGCAATATGATATTATAAACACAGCACATATCACGTCTCTGCTGTTTATAACTTCGTAGCAAAGAAAACACGACATTCATAATGGTGAAACCGCTAGCAAGAGCCACAGGAACTTTGCTGCAAGACAGGCATATGTAACGATGATTTAGCGCAGATAAAGACGTGTCATATTATACTCTGTACTACTGACAACAGGCCAGCGAAAAATCTAACAATCTACAGCAAAACCATCAATTATTATGGGCGTTATAACATAGGTGTGCAGCTGGACGAAACATACACGTCGAACCCCCCCAGACGATTTAAATACCTGATGAAACATACACGTCAAACCACGCCAACGGGTTAAATGTTAAAAGCTCTGTTACTTCAGTGAGTGGAGGATTACCGTCAATCCATACCAAGTACGATTTGGAGCCACTCACCACTGTTCGTTAGGAGCTCCATGCCAGGTTCAAGTAGTTCCATAGCTGGAACTTCCAGACTTTCTTTGCATTTGTGTAAACAGCTCAGCACCTCAGGTTTCTCATTCTTGTGAAGCAGAACAGACAGGCCAGCAAGGTAGCCACGGAAATGATGTTTCATCTTGTTGTCAGATCCTGTATCATATAAACATGATTAATTTCATTCATAGTTGGGGCACAGAATATTGTAAATTGCATGAAGCATGAAGCAAATGACAGTATGAATTTCATATCTGTAGGGTTTATCAATTGCAGGACAAATCATAATTCACTCTCAGAGACAAGAACAAACACTATGTGACCAGTTATGTGATGGTTTACAAGGCAGTAATTCATGTGACACTACCTTGTATGCATGAGTTCTCTTCCACAACTACATTAGTTGCCTACAATAAATGGAAGTTACTTTCTGAACAGGCTACGCCATAGCTCAGGCAGGGAGTATCTGGTTTCCCACCGCAGTGCCATTGGTTTGAGCCAAGGGCAGGTTTTCTCCAAGTGCTTCAGTTTCCCTGCCAATTCTCATTCCACTGACAGCTTCACATTCATCATCTATCATTCAGGGCTGGTACAAAAGGCCAGAGAATGGCCGATGTACCAAGCAGACTGCCTCACCCCCCTCCAAGATAAAAAAAAACTTTCTGAATAGCCCTCATACAATACCAATTTGATTTATACTTCCACATTTATAAACACACAGTCATGTGTTAGTGACTCAACACAGGGTTTGGACTGGTAATTGTATTTACTGAACCCTTGTAACTCGTAACTAAAAGTAATTATAACACTACCGCTAAACTACATACTTAAAAGATCACTACAGCACACACTACGTCTCAGTCTGTTATATCTTCACCAGCTGTTGCTTGGTTATGGGTGCTAACAATGGAGCTTTTTCTAGTTCTGCACTCAGGTCCTGCTGGATGTCACCTGGCTTCCAATTCACTCTCAACTGCAACTCATGGCCTCCTATTGGCTCATCTGTTCACCCGAAGGCTCTTGCTACACAGCCTTGTTAAAGACCGCATAGAAGACATCACCCCCAACAATCTCTTTTATTGTTGCAAGCATATATGTAACCAAGAAATAGCTGCATTCTTCAGGCATTATGTCACAATATATTGAAAAATCTCTCTCCAACATGGGGGAGCTGGAAATTCAATGCCCCCAAATTGGAGACAGGTGTCCTAAACAAATACACTAGTACTGAGTGCCTGGTTCAATAAAAACATTCAAAAGGGAAAGTGATATTTGCAGAGTTAATTCACATACCCTGCCAGCAAGCTCCAACAGTAACTGTAGTGTTAATGCCCTTTGTAGGATGCAGAGGCCAGTCATCAATAATTTCAGGGTTTTTCTTCTCAGCCTTAAATAGCTGACCATCAACATAAAGTGAGATGTCAGGGAACTTCACTGACACTGCATAGTGATGCCATTCATTGTCACAAACCTGCAAATTTTTGAGTTTAAGGTAACAAAACATAACTGTTTTTTAGATTTTCACAATACTGATTTACAAGTGAGTCTTTGGGCAGTAATAGTACCATCCTGTTTCAAGAGAAACAACAAGTGTTTGGAGAAACTTTTACCCTGAAGACAGAGGCAATACAATTGCTACAACAAAAAATCACAACACTAATAGCTGGTGTTTGTGGAGAAAGAAAATAGCTATTTTGACTATGATAACAATTTTAAAAAATATATTTCATGTCAATTTTACAAAATGAAGGCATGTGATTGGGTACCACAAGAAGAGACAGTTATCTGCGAATTCATTAGCTACTGTGCCCCACACAAAATAACATGTATGCAAATACTTGTCTGTACAATGTACAAGTATACCAAGTCTCATTCCATTACCTTCAAGAGACATCATGAAGCACTATGGTATGTATATTACCTGAGGTAGTTTCCACCTCCACTCTGCTGGACGGAAGATGTTCAGATCACCTTCTGAAAAGTCGCGTCTCAACAGAAGAATCAGCCTACAGTTGCGTACAAACAATGCATAGTGGTGTCGATTCATCTCTGTAAAATTAAGATAATGCAACATGATTTAATATTCTGTTAATTTAAACAGTAATAACTTCCAGACACATGATATTTCGATAAGAATCACTGGTAGAACATTAACTGAAATTGTGATCCAAAGTAGAGGAAATTCCTTCAACATATATGCTCAGTTTGTCACAGTTTAGGCCTCATGTATTACTAAAAAACTTAGTAAGATGTGTTACAAAATATACCACACTTATTATGCCCATGAAATTTCATGTTCTGCATGGCAAGCTGATAAGAATGGAAATACTGATTACTATTAGGGCTGAAACATGAAATGTACTCAGAGGGCAGATACCATACACATACTATAATTATAGTGCAGTTCTGAATTATTTTCCTGTTTGAGGCTAATGTTACAAAAGCTCTTGCCTTCAACTTATAAGATATGATAATGGATATGTCTGTATCTACAATTTCTTTCAGTCTAGAAATAACTAAAATAATCACAGATTTTAAACACTACCTCTACACAACAGCAGCAACAGCAATAACAAGAAGACTCCATTCTGAAGCTATATCTGTAGTTCTGTATGGATGTAAATACATATCTCACACTAGGAGAACATAGAATGACTTCTTCACTACAATGCTTTCCTATTGCATACCGTGTAAGCACACATCAAATGCTACAAGATAACCCATAAACACAATCCACTAAAAACATATCCACAGTTACATCTCTCAAGCTCTCTGTTTTATGTGAATATTTCAATAAAAATATTTACTGTTTTCTGACAACGTAGCCTCACATCATAAAAACAGCAAAAATTTTATAAACTGCCATTATCATGGACATGATTTTGGTATGGATGCTAAGTGGTATTTCTTTGCAATGTCTCTGTATCTGTATCTATTTTACTTCCACAAATCCTAATTGGCCACCAAAGCCATCAGATATAGAACATATCATATATGCATACATTAGTTCCAAACACAGAACTAGTCACTTTACAACTACATTCATAAAAGAAACAATGATTACACACAATTCAGTAATTTAAATAGCATACAGGACTCATCAACTTGACAGTAATACCTTATTGAGATTATAGCTGCATGTGATTGGACTGGTGGGACAAAAGACTAGCAAGAAAGGCAAGTGGGCAAAACCCATATGAGAAGCAGATCATGACACCAAGGCAACTTTATGAGTGGATGTTGTAATGACACCCTCAGTCACCTTTGAATACTGTACTTCTGAAGGTAACAGAGAAAACAAAATTTAAAGGGAGGTACAGAAAAGCTCGAATGTTTACAGGCACTAAACAAATCTTAAAGTGCTGCATCCTGTTTGCGGTGCTTACCAACATAAATGGAAGGGTTGCTGTAACACAAACATTTTTATTTATCAATCTGCAATGTTTTATATACAAAAGGCCATCATCATGTGGTTCTTGAGGAAAGACATAAATTGTGACAGACTACATGTAAACTAGAGAGGTAGTATAAAATATTTTTTGCTAGTTACAAGTGGTTGGATCTGATGTAATATTAAATATACTTCAGATTTTACATTATGACTTAAAAATTAAGATAACATCCCTGAAAAGTGGTTTTGGAGGTTTTGAAGCTGGTGGTCAGATCTTCACGTGACTGTCTGCTATTGTATGAGATGGGCAGGGGTCTGTAAAAAGTGTTGTTTTTAGTAAGTTACAATTTCTGTGTGAAAAGAGAATAATGACATTTTACAAAGAAGGAAAAGTGTGGAGCAGTTCTCTGTGGTGGTGAGTCATCGTGCTGATGTGGTGTGTGACCAGGGGGAATACAGTGAGGATGAATGGTCTGCTTAGTGTGGCTAAGCAGGGTTGGTGTCATCTAATGATGTGATGATATCATCGTACACTGGGTTGTGTAAAATTGTGTGTGTGTCATTTAAGCAAATGTCCAGTTGATATGTTTTATAAACTCCTGCCTCAAAGAGCGAAGTTCAGACAAAAGTGTTTTCAAATGAAAATGTGTTCAGTACCACACACATAGTATACATATGCAAGATTAAGAGCATCAAGTGGACATCATAGGATTTGTCACTTGCAAACATGACAGAAAATAGTACCTCGCAAGTGTTTTAGAAGTGAATAACAGTGATATTCAACTAACATTTTTATATCCCTCTGGCCCCATTAAATCTTTCCACCAGGCATTTAACAGTACACTTAGAAACTGAAACAGGTTGCACATATATTATCACTGAAAAGAAATCCTTTCATACCACTGAGAAACTAGAAACCAGGATTCACAGACTAGAAGCAGCTACTCCTATATAGGTAATATTCCTTACTTAAATGAAAAAATGATTTTAATAGTGTAATGACTAAAGCCACCAAGTTACTTTTGTCTTTCTTATTAATACTGTACTACCAAAGCCGTCTACTGTAGTCATTAATCCATGTGACTAACGACAACATGTATGTAACCTGTAGTTATAAACAAATATGTAACATGTAATTTGGCAAAAATCTACTTCAGAAACCACAAAACACTTTTGAAGAAACTTTCATAAATCTAGTTATATGTTTTTTCATTAAGTCAAGTCAAGTCAAAATGTTAATGTGCCTTAATGCATTATGACTGGCACACCAAATGAAGGCTAGATTTAAGACATTTTAATTGGTAAGAGAATGAATTCTCTATCTTAATCATGACCAGAGGTATATGCATAGTGAATCAGTGTGGGAAAAGTTAAAGACAAACTACAAAATGTAATACATTTTGAAATGACATAGGAAAGACAAGGCCTACAGAATTTCACTGAAATCCTAGCAGTCATGTCAACTGTTGATCTGACGTGGAACTGGTCTCACTTTTTATATCCGTAATATGGTGTAATGACAGTTATTTAACTGACGTGCATCTGCATTCTACTTAATGATAACATATAGCCAAAATGTGCTGGTAAAAGTGGATTTATTATGAGGTGTTACAATCAATTTCTTTGTTTTGGCAGTTTTTGGTAATTACATCAAAAGACATAGGGTGTTTGAGAACAGGCTGCTCAGGACAGCACCTGGATCTAAGGAAGAAAATAAGAGGGCAGGAAAATTGCATAATGAGGAACTTCGTAATCTGTACTCCACATCGAACATTACTACTATGCATCAAATCATGGAAGCAGGTTCCATGAATGGTGAGGATTTTCCTGAGTAACTATTACCTTCCCGAGAGGGATTCTGCTATAAGGAGTGAACTACTTATTTTGAAAATAATGAAGCAAATGGCAAATAGAAGTGATACTTACTGTGGTCATCAGCAGAACAAATGATGTGTTCTTTGACATGTTTGTCCTGGTCAGGGTGTTGCTTGTGTTTCATCCATGTTGCAATTGTGAATACTGATGCAAGACTGTGATCCAGCACATCAGATGGAATAGCAACAGCTGAGCTAGCACCATCAAATTCAAAAATTTGGTCTGACTCACGGCCCTCGTCAGTAGGAAGAGACTTGGTCCACTCAGAACCAATACCAGGACTGGGGAGCAGATCTACACTATCCATACTGGCTCCTGAAAAGGAAATCGTATGTGCCTAATTAGTTTAAAGCTGGCACATGTATGTAAAAAGAAGTTATTAAAATGCACCAAGGACCTAAGCAAGAAATGTATGGAAAATTTATACTGGTTCACTCAACTTGACAAATCATCATTCAATAATTAAAGGCAAATCAATCTGTGGGTACATTTTGTTAAGCTAGAAAAGTGGAATATTTCTTTTATTTCTACTTCACCCAATTTTATTACTTTTAATGTGGCTATTCACAGGAAACAGATAAAATATTTATGATGGAATAACTGATCTTATATAACAGCATGCATGTTATGTCTCTAAATGAACATCCACAAGAAAATTAAGTGAACTATTCAGATTGTTTATATACCACCACAGAGTGTGGGTATGGGCTGAATGGGATCCCTATCCAATGTCGTGTGTGCCAGGGTCTTCTTCCCTGTGGGATAAAATGTTTTGGTGTGAAGCTGATGACTCACATCCAGCTAGTGCCAAAGTTAATAATGCATGGAACTACAGCTTCAATCCCCCAACATACATCTTCATGGCACTGTACTTAATCAGTTACGCATAAGGACAACTTCACCTTTATCAATTATACTGCACTTACTCTTGATAATTCTTTTAACTTAAAATATTGGGTCCGAATATTGGCGTGCGTAAAATGTGACAACTACTCTAAACAATATAGCGAGGTTAGGAAAATTATGCCTGCAAAAGTCAGAAAAATTAATTTCTCCATTCCTTTTTGCACAATTTATACCCAGCATTTGTAACTGTTATATTTCCCCATGTATGACACATGAAAGCAGGAGTGAGACAGACAGTGAATATGGGAGGGTGGAACATCCGGGGAATGTCATGTTACAAGCACTCTATGCTATTAAATTTACTTTAACAACCATCAACACAACTTCAAAGATGACTGATGGTCTTGCCAAAAATCACATGTTTAGACCTGACTGTTTGAAATGATAATATTGTGGTATATTTACTCAAAGCAAGAAGTGTGGAGCGACAGAAACAGCCATTGCTAGCTAATGGCTCTGAAACAAAATTTGTTTCTAGGCACTGGCCATGAAACAGACAATGGAATGATTACTGTTGCTAGCCAACAGATTCTTACTAACAGATGGCTGCTGCTAGGGAATGGATCAGTAAACACATTCTCGCAGCAATGGATACAAGAACTGTTTTGTCAGCATGGGCTGTGCTGAGGAGTTATAAGACAAATGGGGCAATCAAGTCAGTTCCATATGGGACGCTGTGAAGAAAAGAGTCAGTTGGTAGGGAGCTGCCATTCAGAGAGGACTTCAGTGCAGAAGATGAAGAATCTCCAGTGTTAGAAGCTGTTACCAGGGATTGGCTGGTGAAGACACAGCAGGCTGGAAAAGACTTAGTGGGTACTTTGGAGATGTGTGAATTGTAGATATTAGTGGTGGCACTGTAATTGCTTGTAGTTCCAAGTCGTGTATAAGTGGTCAATAAATCCAACATCCAATCCAAAACCTCGCTTAGTCACACATACATGTGACAATATATAAATTTCAGTGCTGGTAATCCACTCATAATCACATCTATTTCATGAAGAGTTTGTGGCTAGAAGTTGGTGGTAAAAACATGGTATTTAATTTTTTCCCCCCAAATTTCTTGTCCATTGTAAATTATGCAGAGGTGTGAATTCTGCAAGGAAATTTAGCATTTTTATGCAAGTAACACTGACCCAATGACAACCATTTTGAACAAGGCATCTCAGAAAAAATAATACAAAGTGCGTGGCACATAGAACTCATTCTCTGAAATCCACTCTCTTATTTCACAGTCATTACCTTGCATACAAACCTTGGTGTTGAAGTCAATGTGCAGTACATAAAATATTCAATTCAAAAGTGACTACAATTTACCACAAAGCTTGCGCTGACTCTGTACTGAGTACGTGTCCCTATCACAACCCTTGCCGATGTGAGAGGTTGCCAAGTTCAATTTTGTCTCCACATTGTGAACACTGCAGGGGACATCACACAGTTCCAATTCAGCATCTGGAAACAGATCTTCTCTGCCTGTTCCTGGGGCATAGTCAATCCTTTCTGGGATACCTAATTAGCAAAGAAATGACTATAATCAGTACAAAATAATACAAATAATGATATCAAAATGTTTGATTTTTCACGATTTTTCACTACTGGAGAGTTCCACCGAGCACAATAGTTCTTGTACATGGGACGGTGGCTGGCAACATTATTCTGCTCAGGATGCTGACCAACCTCCACTGTATGTAAGAACTGGCTCTGCATCATTATGCAGCTGCTCCCTCGTAAGGACAGCATGATCCCAGCAATCTGTGGTGGCAGCCGCATTACATTACACCTCCAGACTTTCTGGCAATTAGCACATGTCTACAAGCAAAGTATTCTAGACAGTGCTTCTGGCCTTGGAAATGTTTGGATGTTAAACTGCATTCATGGAGATGCTTGACCTAGCAGGATCTCTCTTCTTCTAGGTCAGGGAGGAGTGGTCAGAACCCGGTGGAATTCTTGTCCATAGAGGTATTAGTGGAAGTGTTCCACCATCTTCGGAATAGTCAGTAACTCCCACCAGGTCATGCAGTAGTTCCTCTCAGCCATGAACACGTTCCTATTGTAATAAGCCACTACAAGCTCCTGGACCTTCAGTACTTGTGACAACACATCTTGATGTCCCACACTGCTTGCATACACGTTGACGCTAAACTCTTCACTCAGCCACGGAGGGTCTACTTAGGGCATGATGATACAGTTTACTGAGAGGTGAGTAATCTAACTATCAAGAAAAAACAACTGGATGGCCTAGCAATGAAGCATGCCAGTATAGAAATGTTCTTGTCAAACAAGCTGAGGCCTTGGCTGGAGTTCAGTTGTGGGTTCAGTTGAAACCAACAGTGGTGTAGGTCAGGTGTTCCTGCAAGTGAATGACAGTAGACACCCTAACATCAGCAATCCAAGACAAGAAAATCTTTTTCCCACATCATAACACTCAGATGTTGGCCATTCTGCTTTGGAGAGAAGCAGCCATCAAATCTCTGGGGGCCCTGATGAGAAGCCCATGAAGGGAAGAGTGAAAGAGGTCTCTTGATGGGGGTGAGCATCTTGTACAACAAAAAGGAAAGTCTGACCAGCAGCAGAGGCTTGTCAGGAAGATGCCTCTTCTGAGGGAAACACAGTGCTAGACTGTATCCTGGCTGCAGATACAGATGGCACTAATGGTGGGAGCTCAAATGTCCCTGCCTGTGAATGAAAAAAGGTGTTTGGGATATCCCACTGACAGCAGCCCAAGCGAAGAGAACATTATTTTAATACTTAAGCTGGATGGTCAAAGACCTATGACATATGGCTCTGCAAAGGAAGAACCAACATATATTAAGAGGGCCTCATCTAGAGGGTTCTGGCTCTGGCTAAGGTCGAGGCTCTTACAGAGCATGAGGAAATCTGAGAGTGCAAAATCTCTGAGCACTTGAAGAATATACCTCCTTCTGGAACACGTGGCACTTCTCAGGGTTCAATCTGAGGTGACCGCCTTGGAATCCCTAGAATGCTTTCTGCAGGTTATCAAGATGCTCCTATAATGTCCAGCCAAGAGTGATCATACCATCCAGGTATAACTGCTTAAACTCAGTTGAATATGCAGCATGCAGCAACAGGGTTAATAGACATACTAAATCTCTCCATTCTTTTATGAAAACCCTGTATACGAGTATATTGTCATGTGACAGTGACTATACTACAGGTTCCAGCTGGATACTGATTCCTCTTATCTGTAAATGTTTACATTGTTTACATGTATTCAGTATAATTTTACAATCTGTTATACCACTCTTGCTTGGTTTCTTACTGCATCTGTCATCAAAGGCATATTACTGGGATTCTGACACTCGTCACAGATTCTACCTAACGCATTCATTGTGGCTGATTCCCCAGCACTGGCTCTGGAATACTAACTTGCATTGAGCTGTTGTGGACTGGCTAGAAAACACTGTTTCCAACAGTTCCCAGACTGTTGTGTGCATTGGTGTTGTCAAAGAACTGTGTTCAACAAGGCATTATGTTGCAATGGACGCCTCCGTAACATTTCCATGATTCCAAGATGAAGCTTCTGCTTTCTGGATGTTATATACCACAATATGTTAACAAGAGACCAGTCAGATCAGTATTTGTTGGGGCTACTCCTGTCATCAAAACAAACAAACTCCGTGGCTTGAATCTGCAAGTGAACTATACTGACTGAGCATCCACCACGTGTTGGTGAAGTTAGTGCCAACTTTAGTGGATAGAGGGTGTCACATGGTCAGCCCAACGAATCCCCATGGCCGTTAATTTCGGTTTTCTATACCGGAGTTGCTATTTCCTTGAAATAGCTCCTCAATTATCCTCACGAGGCCGAGTTAACCCCAATCCAGACCCACTACTTCTCAGAAAATCTGGCAGTGCCGAAAATCGAACCCAGGACCTCTGGATCTGTAGCCAGGAACTCGACCACTAGAACTCGGAGGCAGTCACAGTTAAAAATATAAATCTACTTAAATATAATAAATTAACTTTTTAAATTAAATATATTAAACTGTTTTCATATAGGGTTTAATTTAAATCATACCTTTCCAGCCAAGTTTGCAGATACGATTCACTTTGATAGTGACCATGACAGGGACAGACTGCTTCATACCACAATCATATGCAACCACTGACAGAATGTGATTATGACTCCTTTCATAGTCAAGAGGTTCTGTGTTACGAATAGCACCTATGTTGGAAAGAAACAATATATATACAAATAGTGCATTATTATACTTGCAGCACTACTTTAAATCTCAGCTGACATCTATATATTTCAACAAGACTAACACTGCCTTCAACTACAGTATATGAATTCAAGTAACTGTGTATCATAAACTGTCTTCCAGCAAAATAAAAATGTATTCATGTACTGTAAAACAGCATTTACAAGGAAGCAGGGATGAGACAACTGTAATTTCATTACAAGATATTAAGTGTTTCCTATTTTAACATAAACTTTTGCCAAGTCACTATTGCAATCTGACATGGTGGCTGTCTTCAAAATTAACTATGATTTGTACAATGTATACAACAAACTACTGCTGTTATGACAACATTGTAATATACTATCAGCAGAATGCAGGCAGTTCAGGTACGACTAAATCATAAATTAATGTGGTAAAGCATTTGAAAGAGGTCTTAATTATTTTATTTTATACCCCAGGTGGTAGGCGGTTAGTACATGAAGAAATGGAACTAAGTAGTATTATGTGACTTGGCAACCGAATTATGTATCTCTTCCATACCTTCATTATCAATTGTAAAAGGCTGGTCACTGGTCAGAATTTCATATTTACACACATCTCCATATTTGGGTGTGCAGTCTCGATCAGTGGCCTCGACACGCACAATTTCTTCATACAACCGCCCCTCATCCACTTGACATACATATGATGGGTCCAAAAATGTTGGTGCATACTCATTGATGTCAACCACGGAGATGTGAACTGTAGCACTAAAAAAAATACATGTTTCTTCTTGGTCTATTTTATTACGAAACTTCAACTGCATTTGTTAGGAGCTGGCTAGCTCCTTCTAAACCAACAGAATTTAAAACCTCATGAATGCAGAGGGATGAGTGTAATAATCAAAACAATATACAGCATAACCTTGAAGAGTAACATTTCCATTAATCTAATTTCTGGCCTACTTTCCTTCCTTGAAAGGAAAAAGTATGCTTATGAAATAACCATGCTCTCTCTGTTCCCTCCATTTCAACTTTTGAGTGAGCAGGTTGGTCTAGCAGTGACACCCTAAACTTGTATCTGGGAAGTGTTCAGTTTAATCTTGGCCAGAACAGTGGGCATCCTGACTGAGGTGTTTTATGGTCTCCCACAGTCCCTCCATGCAAATGTTCGGATAGTACCTTGACCAGACCACAACTGTGTCCTTCCAGATTCTTTCAAATTCATCAGCGGTCTTACCATTCAACCCTATACCAATCCTCCATACATTTCAATGGTAAAATGCCCACCCACCCATCCACTCAGTCTACTACAATTATATTGTGAGATACCAGAGAGGGAATATAAGGTAAAGTTGATTAATTAAGCACATGATGATGATGATGATGATGATGATGATGATGATGATCAGGGAGCAGAGGCATAGCTTGCATCATTCTTTACCTCAGCACTAGATGGAGGTCAGTGTTCAGCTTCATGCCTGAACTGCTTTATCCCTGGACAAAGAGGCCCCCATACTGACTCGATAGAAAGTTGGGTGGGCCCCAGAGCTAGTCTGGATACTGTGTCAATTAAATGTTTCTATTGAAAACACAAAGGCCATAATCTCACTTAAAATTAGAGCACACAATTCATAACTTTAGCCTGTTCTTTTAAGTGATCACTTCTGTAACAACAGTTTTATTTTGTGGTTTATTCTGAGTATATGTAAGTTGCAACTTCCCTTTACATTCTAATACATCCCCAATACCATTAAAGAAACAGATTGTAAAATTAATTTAACACCTTCTGAAGCCAAGAAATAAGAAAAAGGAAAACTTCATGTACCATGAAAGATAATACCTAAACAGATTACTCACACTTTGTATGCACATCACAAAACAACTGGGAAAAGTGAATTCTCTTACTTGTCTGAGACTTCACCAGTACAACTGACAGCTGCAATGTCAAATTTGTAGTTCTTTCTTTTTTCACAGTTAAGAGCCTTTCGAGCCCGCAGCTCAGCTTCTCCTCCTGGCTTTAATACAATCTGAAATCAAGACAAAAACGTTTGTTCCATCTGCAAAAAGTTGTTTCTCTCATCTATTTTCACACACATACATGTGTGCATGCCCCCACACAGGCACAGGCACAAACACAACACACACAACACTTTCCTGAAACTCTTCAAAGCCAGCCTTCAGAACCAGACAATGCTAGAAATGTCACTGGAAGCCTTACATACAAAATTCTACTTATCACAACTTTATAGCTAGATGTTTGAGATTTATTAGTAATTTAATAAAAACTTGGTCATTATTACTTATAAATAATGATACTTTCTGCATTTTATTCACAAAAAATTCTTTTAAAGCATGTTACTTTTTCATACAGTTTTACAGTGCAGCAACATTTATATATAAGGCATTATTTTCTAAAAATATCTGCAGCATGCCAATGTGGTAAGAAAATCACTCTTATATAGAAACTTTCACAGGTTTTGACATAATAGCTTTCAAATTTAAAAATGTCACAAAACATTTCATTATTATTTTGTGTTAAAAAAGATAATGCTATCCCTGTAAGAGGCCATGGAGGTCTACTGGGTTGTGAGACATCGAGGCTCCTACATTTTGGAGACAATCAGCTGACAGGTGATTGTGTGGCTGTCAGCCTTACATGCTGGCCGCTCTTTACCTCCTGGAAGATCCCTGGTACTCAGTTCTGTTACAGGCTAAGTTGACCCCAGGAACACAGTGTGGCTGGAAGGATTAGGTCAACTGAAAAATCCGGTGACCTCATCAGGAATCGAGTGTTATTCTTGACAATTATGCTAACAAATAAACCTCACTACTGACCAAAACTTTTAGCTGACAGAGTGACAAATTCCATACTGTGCAGCAGCTGGAATTTAATGTATTACATAGAAATTCAAAACATCTGAAAAATGTGACTAACAGTTCAACTAATTAAATGACAATGACAATTAAAAGACAATGAATTTGCTGCGCACACATACAAACAATTTAATGTCTTTTGCACAGTTTGGATTTAAAGAAAACAGTAACACAGAAATGGCAATATATACATTAACTAATCATATTTTAGAAACACTGGAAAGAAGCAATCATTCATTGGGAGTTTTTTGTGATTTGACAAAAGCATTTGACTGTGTGAGTCATGATATTCTTTTGAGTAAATTAGCAACATACAGCATTGGTGGTAAAATAAAAATATGGTTGAAGTCCTATCTGGAAAATAGAAGACAAAGATTTGAACTCTATAATAATGAAAATGGAAAATGCTGTTCAGACTGGGGAACTGTCAAATATGGAGTGCCACAGGGCTTGATTTTGGGTCCTTTGTTGTTCCTTTTATATATTAATGACCTGCTGTCAGCATTAAGTACTGACAACAAGTCATTGTTGTATGCCGATGATACAAGCATATTAGTGTCAGGTATTAATATCGATGAAATTCAAGAAAGGTCTAAACTTACGTTAAATTCCTTAAGTCAGTGGTTCAAATACAATGGCTTATCCCTAAACTTGAGGAAAACTAAAGTGTTAAAATTTGAAACAATCAATCGTGAAAATATGCCTGTACATTTAAAGTTTAACGATGAATTATTACAAGAGGAAACTCATATTAAATTTCTGGGCATTGAAATTGATAAGTTTTTGAACTGGAAGACACAGGTTGAATCACTGTTACCCAGACTGGGAAAGGCATGTTATGCAATACGAATTATGAAAACATATAGTAATGTTACAACACTTAAAATGATATATCATGCATACTTTTATTCACTCATGAGATATGGAATAGTTTTTTGGGGTAATTCGTCAGAGGCCAAGAAGATCTTTCTCTTACAAAAGAAGACTATTAGAATTATAATGGGGATGAAACACACAGAGTCATGTAGGCCAGCATTTATAAAGTTAAATATATTAACATTGGTCTCTCAATATATTTTATCTATGATGACTTTTATGAGAGACCGACAAGACACGAAAGAAATTTACATGTCCTACAATCACATCTTGCAATGAGGCAGAAAGGAGTTCACTGCATGAGTATAAAAATATTTAACAGTCTGCCTGATTATTTAACCAATTTAGTACATGATAAAAAACCATTTATAAAAGAAATAAGAGATATCCTAATACATAATCCATCATATACTGTTGATGAATTTTTGCTCTTCTGTCGGGATCAACAGCTAAGGAATAGAAGGGGAGTGCATACTGACTGATGGATGTCCCACAGTAGGCATCAATAAGTGTAACTTAAGGAAGGAGAGGTATTATGTATTGCTAATTATCTTGTTGGTATAATTGTATGTGTAACATTGTATCTATTTAATTGAGGTATTCAGTTTAGATTTTAACTATGGTTGAATTGATGTTTCTGCGATTTTATCTGTGATTGTCTTGTGACTGTTGTTAGACAAGTTTTATATTCAGTGCCAGTTGCACACTTATGAATACTCTAAAACGCTGATGTATGTAAGAATTTAAAATAAACATATAATCTTCCCGCTATAGTCATGACAATAATAGTGTTGTTAAATAACCTACTTAAAAAATACATATAAAATCTGTTCCACACATCCAAAACAATGAAACCATACCATGTTCATCTCAAGGGGTAGCACATTTTTGAAGTTCATAAATAACTGAAGAGGATGAGTTAATGACAGTGGAAAATGTTTAAAATTTTAGTGCATTTACCTGTCATTAAAGCTCTAAATTTTGCATTGTTTAAACTGTTATCTTCCTTCTATTAAGAAATGGTAGAAGCTGAGATGTTGGAATTGTGTCCAGAATTACTTGGTTTTTGGACTCTGTCCATTTTCATGTATTCTGCCAATAATTCTGAGTATTATAAATATTGTCAGAACCATTTAGAATGTGTTGGAAATGTGGACTGACCATCACCAAGACCTGGATTTAGCCTGGTCACTGTGTGAAATGCAGTAATTTTTTAAAATAGCCATCCCTGAAGATAGTTCTCTTTAATGGTATGAACATTCTTCAGTGACTTCCTATGGCTTATGACATTTATTAAAGCATTTAATAAGAAACCTCAGTATAAATGACCTAACATTTACATCTGCTAACAGACTGTCATGGAATAACCATACACCCCACAAATAATACAGAAGAAATATTTATCTGTTGCTTATAAACTATTCAGCTTAATTCTGTAACTATCATGTCATACATTTTTTAAATATTAAGCATGATAAACAAGAAAGGTATACATATAAATATATGATGACACATTTTATGAGCCACCCAAACACTGATGTACCACATAAAAAGTCCACTAAAAATTTGAATTTTATAACATTTTATCGTTCTTCCATTTCAAGATTATTTAATAAGATACAGGAATCTTCAAGCCTTATATTAAAGGAGGAACTGTTTTGGAAGAGACTGTGGGCCTGTCGTCTTGACAGATTACTGATGATGATGATGATGATGATGATGATGATGATAATAAAGGAGCTGAAACATGCCAATGCTGTCAAAGGTTTTATTTCCCATTTTCATTTTAATGGAATTTTGTAAAAGATGTTACAAAAAATGTGTTCATCATGAACACTGTTGATATTTTCTTGCACTATGTTAGATAAAAAAAAAATAAAAATTGAACCATCTGGTAACAGAACTTGGCAGCATTAATATCAATGTGTGCCAGTGGTCACAAACCTATGCTAAATTAATCTCATAAACCTCCAACTGCCCTATGATCTATCACGTTTCAGTATCCCAACAACAATCCTGTATGCACATCATGTCATGTTTTCTTCATTCAAACTAAATTTCCAGGCTATTGAAAATTAATATTTATAATCATAAATTGGACACAGTTAAAAAATCAGCTTGTCCTTTAGTAAGTATTCTGCAATTTGCAATTTTGGGGATCCAAGCCATCAGTTGGATATACACTTCTTCTGGGGAAGAGTGGAAAGGCATTACAAACTCTAAAAACAAATCATCTTAATATGAAAGACAGTGGAAAAAATACACAATATCAGTGTTATCTGATTATGTTTGCAGGATCAATTCTTCATCCTACATCCTACTCAAGAGGCAAACTGACTCATACTACCAGCATATAAACACTTTCATAAAGAGAACCTAGGCCAAGGGGTTGAGTCATCAGTTACATATGGCTCAGATTTGTTTCCATGTGCATGTTTTAGGTATGACCTCATAGCAAGGTTTCAAGATGTTAGAATGGAAAATTTCAATTAGCTCTTTGTTCTCTCACAAATACATCCCCTTTTGACTGAACCCACACAAACACAAATCAAGCAAGCTGACTCAAGTGGTAACATTTATTGACCTGTATTTAGGAGGTGTTTGGCTCAAATGTTGGCCAGATCATGGTCTTTCTGTCTTGCATGGATTTTCTCCATTCTTAGAGACAAATGACAGGATAATCACTTCCTTCCACATCCTTTATAATTCATTACTATCATCCAATCATTCAATGTTATAGTCCTCAGTGTGTGCTGTTACATAAATTACAAACAAAGGATAGCATTTTCAAATATGCCATTACCACTTCCTCTGCAAACATTTCAAGTTTGCCAACACAATCATCCTCTCATATCACTTGATGCTAAATAACCACTGCAGTTGATACAATGTCAAATAAAATATGATCCACTGACTGAGATCAAACTCAATATTTGTAAATAACTTTTTCATCAAGTTTTTCACCACAGATTCTGCTCCTTTCAGTTCTGTTCTTTGCACAATGAACTGAAATATTTCACAACAAGCCGAACATAATTATGATATTGTGGCATACAGTAAAGTCAATATACTCGTAGGTAAACATCTGTCTGATAATTTTCCTATCCAGAATGGTATAAAACAAGGAGTTGCTTTACTGCCACTGTTTTTCAACTTTTCTTTAGAATATGCCATTAGGATGGTCCAGAAATGAAATTAAATGGGAGACATCAGTTGCTGGTCTGTGCTGATGATGTGAATCTACTGGGTGATAACTAGGGACCGGATTTTTATGCCCTAATAATCCCTTAAATATGTGTGCGCGTATGTATGCAAACTTCCGAAATATGCACTAAAATATGCACATAAAAATTTATACCAAATATTAAAATTGATTTTACATTATTTTAAGACCAACAAATCAATGTTTAAGTTCATTTTATGTAATCACTGAATGATTCACTTGCAATAAAAAGCTATACTTAAATACAAATCATGCAACAAAGCCAACATATTTCATTACAAATTTAAAAAAACCAATGGTACTCACATTTCCTGGTACTCATTTCTGTTAGAGGTTGACTGAACACCAGGGCCATAAGTGCGGCTGGAAGGATTAGGTCAATTGAAAAAAATCCAATGACCTCATTGGGACTTGAACCTGCGACCTTCCAGCTTGTAGCATAACCCCTCAACCAACTACACTACTGCTAAATAATTTTCCTGGGGAGTAAAGCGCGGACGGTGCATAAGGCTGACAACCTTACCGCCATCTTTGAGCCAACTGTCTAGATAACCTGGGACCCTCAACGTCTCACGAACCTATGGGCCTTCACGGCCTGTTAGAAGGGTAGCTTTACTTTACTTTTACTCACATTTAGCTCTCCGAACTTTCAACTTCTCTTCTGTTGCAATTCACAATTACTAAATGTTTTAGGTCTTCCATAGCTAGTCACCTCCTATTGTCTTGTAAGATGCCCTTATAGCGGGGAAAACTTCTTTCCACCTCACAGAAACTTAGGGGCGCATGTACAAAAGCCGCTATTTGCTCCACTGTTAGCGATTTTTTACTTGTCAATTCTGTAGGTTTACCGGCTAAAATTTCTTCAATTTCACAAATCTGTTCATATCCTGGATTTTTTTAAAGAATGCTGTGTACTGAATTCAATTTGGAAAGAGTGGTTTTGAACACACTTAACGAATGATACAAAGTAGTATTGCTATTGCTTGCCTCCAGTGAGGAAATGGCGGATGGAAGATGAGAGAAGTGAGCAGATATATACGAAAGAATAGTTTCTAGTTCTGCGTTTTTTAGTACATTTTGGGCAATTTGAATTGATACTGCACTTTTGGGATCAAATGTATTCACGAAATTCCTGTTTCTACATGTTCAGTATAATAACTCGCTGCACACAGCCACGTGCTCCAGCACGTTAAAATTGGTTCTGGTGGAAGTGGAACGCTCGGTGCTACTGCTTTAAAGGCTTCATTTCTGTATGGCGCTTTAACAAATACCTTCTTCATAGAAGACGCCAACATGTTAGCAAGCAGGAAATTTTTGTACGAATCGTTTCTGCAAAACGGTGCAACCCGTGGGCAAGACAAGTCAAATGTGTCATATTTGGAAGTATAACCGGCTTTCATCATATAACTTGCGGCATCAGTCACAAAGAGCAATACGCGCTCATACTGAATGCCATTCGGCCATAGTAAATTCATGGAACTGATAAAAAAATCGGAAACTGCGGAGCTATTTGTGGTTTCAAATTGCTCTACTGCAAGAAGATATGGGGTAGATTGTTCATTCTTATTAAGGGATCCAACTATACAATTTGCAGTAAACCGTCCCTCACAATCTTGTGTTTCATCGATTGATACCCAAACAAAATTATCTTGAATCTTATCTCTAATGCTTTCAACTGTAAGATGGTAACACTGCTTCAAGTAATTTTTGCGCACAGTAGATTCATCCGGCACTTGTACTGTGTGTACTTCTCTATGAAGTTTCTCAGAGTAGGATTGGTTAGTTTCCACGGCAGAATATCTGCTGCTAAAAAGGCTTCGCATAAATCAAAGGAAAACTGAAAAACTATTATTAGAAAATTCACTATGCAATTTTTGAACAGGAGCCCTTTTCGTGGATTTTATTTTAATATTCTCTTTGTGTATATTCATATTCAAATGCTGAAGCACGTGAAAGGGTTTTTCACAACCAACTGCTTTCCCACATGCTCGGCAATAAAGAATTTCGCTATCCATACTTATCATCTCTCTTTAAAACTCCTGCTGATACAGCTGTAATTTAGTTTTCTGACTTACTTTCACTTTTGGCATGACTACAGAAAGCTAAACATACTTAACTACAGACTAGTCACCACTAATGTGGATGGCCCTCAGCTTCAAATGAAGAAGCATAACGAACCTCATGGAGACTTTGGAAATAAATAAGTGAAGTCCGTTATCAGTTGAATAGTATTACGTTAATAGCGCCTACATGTGAACACTTCTGACTAATCTCTTTGCGGCCACTTTGATGGTACGCGGATGAGGCAAGTTACGAGTAGAGCGATCGGGAAAGTCCCGTCCTGGGTATTGCATCAGAAACATGAATCATGACGAAATGTTGGGTCAAATATGCAACATATTCTAATACGGAAAAGAAAAATTGTATACACACGACCATGATTGAAAACTTATAAAATTAAAAAACATATATGATAAACATTTTAAAAGGAAATATGCAGTATAAATTGAGATCTTCGAAAATATGATGCTTATTCATAAAACAAGCAGAATATGCATCTATATGCACCATCAAACCATGTCCAAAATTTAAGAAATGAAGTCATTCATAAATATATCCAAAAAAGCATACTTTCTGGTTGCAAGCAAGAAATATGCATTTGCATTAAAATCCGGTCCCTAGTGATAACACGGATACGACAAAGACAAATGCAGAAACTTTTAACTGATGCTAGTAAGGAGATTGGCATAGTAGTAAATGCAGAGAAAACTAAGTGTATCACCACAATGCATGGTAAAATAATGACATAAAGATAGACAGCAGATGCTTTTGGGGTATGCAGTAGCATACCTGGTTGAGGCACTATGCTACAAGCTGGAGGGTCGCGAGTTTCATTCCCAGTGAGGTTACTGGATTTTTAAGTTGACCTAATCCATCCAGATGCACTATGGCCCTGGGGTCAACTCAAACTCTAACAGAAATTAATACCAAGGACCTTCTTGGGGGTAAAGGGTGGCCAGTGCATAAGGCTGACAACCTTACTGCCATCCAAGAGCAACTATCTAGAAAATGTGGTGGCCTCAACCTCTCACAAGCCTATGGGCCTCCACAGCCTGTTACAGGGATAGCTTTACCTTTACCATCTTCTTTTTATAGATGCTCTGACCATGTGGCACAGTTCAAGTATTTCGAAGCGACAGTAACAAATCAGAATCTGATTCAGGAGGAAATTAAAGAGGACAGTGAACTCGGGCAATGCTTTCTGTCATTTGGTCCAGAAACTTTTGTTTCTCTTCTGTCTGCTGTTTAAAAAGGTAAAAATTAGAATATACAAAACCATAATTTTGCCTGTGGTTCTGTATGGGCATGAAACTTGGTCTCTGACATTAAGGGAGGAACACAGGCTGTTTGAGAACAGGGTGCTGAAGAGAATATTTGGCCTGAAGTGGGACGAAGTGATAAGAGGTGGGAGAAAACTTCATCATAAGGAGCTTCATAACTTGCACTCTATGCCAAGTATAATTAGAATGATCATGTAGAGGAGGAGATGGGCAGGGCATGTACCACAGATGGGGGAGAAGAGGAATGCATACAGGATATTGGTGGGAAAGCCAGAAGACCACACCAGGATGACGGTATAGGTGGGTGGATAATATTAAAATGGATCTTATAAAGATGGGATGCAGTGGTATGGACTGGATTGATTTGGCTCAGGATAGAGACCAGTGCAGTGCTCTTGTGAACATGGTAATGGACCTTTAGGTTCCATAAATTATTGGGGAGTTCTTGAGTAGCTGCATAACTGGCTTCTCAAGAAGGGCTCAGCTCCATAAAGTTAGTCAGTTGGTGTTGAAGCCACCATTTTGCTTCTGATCATGCTACAAAAATAAAAATAGTTCTAGGTAGAACTCATAAACTCAGTTTCCTACTGCAGCCTCGTAGTCCTATAAATACTGTGCTGTTAGTACCATATTTAGATAACATAATTTATGATCCAACAATGAAATTCAATTTGGCTCACTGGCCAGAATGTTTGACTTGCACGTAAGATGGTCACAATTAAGGCTGCTTTCAATTACGAATATGTTACAGATTATCACTGTTGTCATCATCTTCTCCTTCCATCACAGGCACTTTTTCCAAGTACTTCTCCCACTCAGTTGGGGCCAAATGACAGAGCTAGTTCCTATCTCCCTGTATCCAGAGATATGGCCTAACTCTTGGGAATAACTGAGTAGGCATTTTACCTAAGGATAGATGCAGACTCCAACCTCCAAAATGTTATTTAAAATAAAAAACAAATGATGGATAGTGTCCAGAAAGTCAGTAACTGTATGAAAATTCCAGTGCATAACTGAAAAATAAAGTTCAACCTTACCTCAAACGGTGCTTCTCCATGGTGTTTGTTGACAATTCGGAAACTGCATATCTCCCCGCCAACTGCCTTAATGCGTGGTGTGACTTCTACAAGTGTTTCATTTTCCTTGACCAACCCATGATAACCACTTTCTAAACTAGCTAGGTCCAAATGGGGCACTAGAACAACAGAAAATCCAACATCAAAATAATGGGAAAAATATAAAGTATACATGTCTGAAGAAGTGCTCAAGAAAATATCAGGAACTAAGAGGGATAATGCGGACAACAGATGATATGATACAGAACATGCCACCTAGTACTGTAATGAAGGTGATTATAATAGGCTAGACATGTACCTCAAAGGGAAACAAGTACTGAATAAGTAATTTTGGTTTGGAACCTCTTAGGACATGGTTACTTTGTAAGATTGGTGAGGAGATGGAGGATAAAATGGATCTTAGGTATGATGAGTATGTAAACTGTCTCGTAATCATGCTCAGTGGGGATACTTTGGTGCTGGTGTTCAATCTTCATAACCAGTTACAGCAATGTACATAAACACTACTGCTAACTTTTAACAAGCAGGACCCACTGATGTTAACTGTCTGACATTCAAAATACTTATAGGAGGGGTGGGAATTTGAGGCTACGGGTGATATCTCTGCACTGTTTTACATTAACAATGTCTGAACAATTAAACTTTGATGAGTATGAAAATACATTTACATGTATATGGAGGAATATGTTGTTTCGTCTTCAGGATAGAATATACGGTAGGAGCAGAAAAGGTGGTTCAGGTATATGGACGGGAAGACATGGAATTGGAACAGGAAATTGTGGTACAGTAAATATCAGAGGGAAAATAAAGCAGAGGAAGGAGAGGTGGGTAAGACACAGTGAAGAGACATTAAAAATGATTAAAAATAATTCCACATCTTTATCTGGCATGCTGCAATAATACAAATGAACTCTGGACTTTTTGTAATCTGTACTATTGTTTTACACGAAGCTGTGCCCTAGAACTGTAAAATTAAGAACAGTACATGCACGTATGGTATTACACCCCCTATAGTAGGAATAGATCAGTTTTCCATACAGAAATTATCTGTACACAATATAGTTCCTTGCCACATTTGGCACCCCTGCCATGATTACAAAAAATGAAGTTTCTCCAAACTTCCTCATTCTCAGTGTATTAAGAATTAGGTCTACATCATAATAATACATATCCCATACCTCTAAATCCGAGACATTTAGACATGAAAGGATCAGAAAGCAAAAAACACATTTACTGCACTGCATGACCCACATTACTTCGAAAATATTGGTGTAAGAATTTAATGTGTGCAATTACTTCCCCTCGTGAGATTCCTTTATAGCTGGAATCACATTTACAAAGCAATTTTATAGACACTACATACATTTCCAAGCACCATGGCTGAGAATCATTTCAAATGTATAAATATACATACACACATACACAGCTTCACAGATCCGTTGCCTGCAATGGGCTGGATATTGAGTTCGTCAGAATAATTAAAAGTAGTTGCAATATGCAACCAAGTCCAAATAGACACAACATACCTGATACATGGAACAGCTTCTGAAATTTACTCATTTACACTGCAGAATTTTCAAAGCAAATCAGTGCAGAAGAAAAGAAAATGAAGTGATAATGATCAACACAACATAAAAAAAAAGTTTGGTATACTTCTTCTATTAAATGTGCATGAAAAATGTTGCAGGTGCTGGAGTGTCCTTTTGTCTTTTTATCACATTGATATTTCATGAAACAATTGACTTTATCATCAATCACACACTACCCTATACAAATCTAATAGTATTACAAGGATCATGAAAAGTTAAACTAGTTCCGTACAGTGTGACTGGTGAAGATTTTTCTTATTTCAATATATGTAATAGTAGCCTCCAACTGTATTGATGTAAAGGTGTCCCTCTGATTATGGTCTCTGAAGACCGAAACATGTAAGGGCATAAATAACTGACATAAGAAAAATCTTCACCAGTCACATTGGACGGAACTGTTTAACTTTTCATGATATTGTTAGTGTGACAGACCAGAATGAAACAAATAAAAAAAATGCATTACAAGGAGTTATATGTTATATACAGAGTTTCTTTTTAACCGGTCGCCGTGGAACCATTCAACAAAGTAAAAATCCTCCGTGTATAATTGCATGATTTACAATTTGGTGCTAAGAATAAAAAATGGGGCTCCCAGTATCTGTAGTACTCTTAAAATAACATCACACAACTTCCAGACAAGCATATGACGCATTTTTACTTGGGAAATTCCAAACAGTCGATTAAGATAAAAAGGTGATAAAAATGACACATCGAACTACAGACCTATTTCACTGCTCACATCAATTTCTAAGATCTTTGAAAAGGTAATCTTTAATAGAATGCAACAACATATCAAGAAAAACAGACCTATTTCACTGCTCACATCAATTTCCAAGATCTTTGAAAAGGTAATCTATAATAGAATGCAACAACATATCAAGAAAAACAGACCTATTTCACTGCTCACATCAATTTCTAAGATCTTTGAAAAGGTAATCTATAATAGAATGCAACAACATATTAAGAAAAATAATATTCTTGCTAATGAACAGTTTGGTTTTAGACATGCACGATCAACAGATGATGCAGCTTACTATCTTATTAATAATATCTTAACTGCTTTAAATAACAAAGAAATTGTGGGCGGTGTTTTTTGTGATCTTCACAAGGCCTTTGATAGTGTCAACTATGATATTCTGCTTTCGAAGTTGAATCATTACGGGATTAAGGGAAGGGCTAATGATGTAATTAGATCCTATTTATCAGATAGATACCAGAGAGTAATAGTTGTTTCTGACTCAATTAAATTCTACTCTAAATGGGAGCCTGTTACCGTAGGAGTCCCTCAAGGATCCATACTTGGTCCCTTGCTTTTCCTTTTATATATCAATGATTTGCCTAATGCCATATCTGATGTATCCTATCCAGTCTTGTTTGCGGATGACACAAGTCTAATAATTAATAATCCTGACACCCCAAGATTTGAAAAAGATATAAATATAGTTTTAGAAAAATTAAATAAATGGTTTAGTAGTAATTTATTACTACTAAATCCTACAAAAACTTACTTTCTACAATTTATAACTAAAAACACAAGAGCTTTAGATTTACATATACTATGTGGGAATAAACAAATAACCAATATGGAGGTTACAAAATTTCTAGGTTTGGTTATTGATCATAAATTGTCATGGCAAACCCATATTGACCAAATGATACCCAAATTAAATAAGGCATCCTATATAATTAGAGTATTAAAACCTCTTTTATCCTTGGAGTGCCTAAAAACTGTTTATTTCTCCCTAGTTCATTCAATAATATCTTACGGCATAATATTTTGGGGGAGTTCGGCTCATGCAAAAATCATATTTCAAATACAGAAAAGAATAATAAGAATTATTACCAATTCGCGTAATATAGATTCGTGCCGTAATTTATTTAAGGAGTTACATATTCTGCCACTTCAGTCTCAATATATATTTTCTTTACTTATGCTGGTTGTCAAGAATAGAGATTGCTATATAACAAACTCTGATGTCCACACACGTAATACCAGATTTAATCATGACTTGCATCTTCCGGTGGTAAACTTAACGATATTTCAGAAAGGTGGATGGTATTCTGGTATCAAACTTTATAACCACCTCCCTCCAGAGCTTAAACAATTATCTTATGACATTCCTGGATTTAAAGTGGCGTTAAAGAAGTTTCTTATCACCAGTTCTTTTTATACTGTTGAAGAATACTACTGCTGGAATAAAGATTGATACCTCATGTATATATTTTAATCATGTATGTACTTTTAAATGTTATTTTGATATATGAATGTACTGTGGTACAATAGTTTTGTTGTATTGAGTATTTAAATTTTGACGATGATGACTGTCTGATTATGTATGTATATTTATATGTTATATTGTATTATTGACTTGTTCTGTATCTGAGGCAGATGCCTCTATGGATATTTTTGGAACTGTAAATAAATGACAATGACAAAGAAATCAAGTTACATATAAGAAAGACTATATAAGGTTTTTCATTATAAGACGTATTCGGATAGAATTTCGGAAAAATATACAGCTTTATTTCCCAAATTTTGGTTTCGCTTTGAATTTATATCAATGAATTACCCGTGAATGAACATCTACTTTCAAGAGAATGTAAGTTGTAAAGACTGGCGTCTACCATTTTCTCTGCATCTCCATTGACTTGTCATGATAGATGGTCGTAGTAATTGAAAGAATGTTTTAACAATACTTGTCGTACTATTACGATAACGGTTGTAATATACCTTCTGCAAGCAGTGTCTAATAATGTGACAATAAGTTTCTGAAAAATAACAAAACATGGAATATTCAACTTACCACCATCTACGGATGGTCCCGATGTGACATTTAATGAAGATGTAGCAAATCCGAGATATGCAGAAATTAACAAATACTTTCCAACCATTTGAACTTATTATGATTTCAACCTTATCATAAATCGTGAAAACACGTACTGATAGAGGTTTTATCAATAGTAACACTTATACAATCATAACAAGACACGAAAATATTTCTCAGCTTTAACGTCCCGGATTGAAGAAAACTGAGATGACTGAGATTGTCTACAACTTAGACTTCTTATAGCACGGCATATCTCCACATACCAAGTTAGTGAGGTTATAAGTTTCTCTTACTAGGTGGTGCTAAGATCACACAAAATTTGTTAGCCTCTCTCGTTGTCAAGGTGTTATGTGATTGGTTGGAACAGACTCGCCATGGGCATTTTCAATGGTAGTTCTGCCATCTTCCGCCTGCATACACGAACTAAATCACAACCGATTCCAGAGCCGAATTAGGATTCATTAAAGATTTAGAAACATAATCAAAGAGAAAATCTATGGTGTACTGGCGCACCTGCGCACGTAACGTGTGACGTCACCCTATTGACCGACAATGATGAAAAATTATCACGCACCTCGGGCATTTCACGGCTTTGAAACGATTGAAATGTTAATTACAAAACCTGTTCATGTGTTTCGTTAAGGTCCTCTACAAAGTCTTGCCAAATGATTAAAAACATTCAAGGTATTTATTTAGGGCCTACAGCACATGGCAGGGGTGAGGGCACACCTTTATTTGGTCGAGGAAGAAACAAAGAATTCAGGAATGACCGGCCTTACACATTGTCCTACATATTCTTTTGTGAGGTGCCTGAAGAATCAGACATTACACAAGGTTAATGATGGGGCGAATAAAATGTTTGCAGTAAATTAGTTGTACATGTCCCACTGTGGTATTACTGGGCAATTGAAGCCACACAAACATAAGCACATAAATAAAAACTTTATGGATTTGACTTGGTTCATCCTGGTCCGTCACCCTAGTAATAGTATAAAAGACCGAAACATGTCAAGGATGAAAGATTAAAAATGAAAAAGAAAGAAAAAGGAAAACAAATTATTAATCACACTGGATGGTGTTAATAATCTTTTATACTAAAACTTTATAGCTTATACAAAATATAACTTGCATAATCTATGTAGGTATGCAATTAAAATGGTATGTAAAAGATATCCGGGGCTATACATGATTTTAACAACAACAGGTAAACACTTGAAACAAGACTTATGCCATATACCTGCAGTTTGGTTACTGTTACTGTTACTGTGTGGCAAGTGCTTAAATGTGAAACAATTATCATTGTCTCAGTTGATTACAGCTGTGCATGAGGATGCCATGATTTTTATATAACCAAACCAGAGACAACCCCTAATGTTTCTAGCCATGATCTACCAATACTATTATTTGTTACTAAAGCAGTGAAAGCATACATTTCTTCTGATTTTCACTTCATTATAGATACTGACTGTCATTAAGATAAATATTTTTTCAATGATAATACACAAATGGTTGATTAAAATTTATCCATTTATTTTAGTGAACAATCAAATCCCACCTCCATTACAACCAGTAAGGTTTCCAGAAAAATAGTATAAAACATGCTCACTTGATGACACCAAATAAAAATAAGTGTGACATAACTTCTTTCATAAATGCTATAATAAAGGATCTAACATACTGCACCAAGTGTCACATAACTTACACCTATGATTTCCTCAAGAAAGGTTACAAAAATATGTCGGTTTTAATGAAAACAGTAGTTGACCAAAGAACTAATAAATTGTTTGAGAATGACCACTCCTGAAGTGAATAATGGAGGGAAAACTTACAGATATGGTCCCCAGAATTCATCCCAGATTTATAGTGCTTAGTTGAAGTTATGGAATGTGTGAATGAATTAGGATAATTTTGGCGGCCACACCACAGCTGAGAAAGCATTTTGAGGACATTTTTGCAAGGGTTATTAAACTTTGCACAAAGAAAATCACAAATAATATGTCTGAACACAAGTTTGGAAAAATGTGTGAACACAAGCGACACTAAGATGCTAACGGAACGAGTGCTAAACACAGACTGACGTAGCAAGCGCACAATCCGGGACTTCCCCTCTCGTCACTCATTATGCGAAACGTCGCTCATTAAGCGAGTCATTTTTTTTACAATTTGTTTTGCTCGTTATGGGAGGTTCCACTGTACATTCAATAATGCTGAAGATTTATCATAAACCTCCTGCAGAAAGTTATATTTTTCCTTGATGCTGTATATTTAATACAAAAGTAATGAGAAACTGTGTCTCATGTTTCAAAGTTGAGCAAATTGTGAGGCTTTCAGAGTCCACTTCAGTCCTACAAAATGTTATGTTTATACAGTTCTTAGAAAAGAGGCTAGATTACCATACTAAAAGATATTAAGCCATTACAACACTATGGACAACCTTTCAATTGCAATAATATAGAGTGGACATAAGAAAATTTACATTTAGTAAAATTAAAATCATTAGATGAAATCCAATCCAAATAATCAGGGACTGCCAATTTGGTTGATTGTCCAAGGAAATATTTCACCATTGTTACCAACATTTTAAATCTTGAAACAAAAGAATGTGATACTAAACTACATGAGAGCAACAGAAAGAATTTCTATAAAGGTCATCACAAAATATGTTTCTAGCAGCTCACTGAATATACCCCAAATGTAACACTTCATGGTTTGGATATATTTTGAATAATACTTCAATGAACAAAACTTCTTCACACTGAGTGATGTTTTATCATATTATCTCATTATAGGAGAGATATGATTCACTGAGTATGACTGGGAAATGTTCATAGCTCAATCCACTCTATATTCCTCTCTCAAATATTTGGGGTGATTAGAAAAATGTATTTTTGTACAGCTGTACTTAACAAGAATGATGATGAACAAAGTAAAGTTAATATTAATGGCATAACTGACATGGAACCCTTTGGGTATGGGAATAAAGGTGAATAAGATTGTTTGGACCTGTACCTCAAGTACGGCAGACAAGAAATGCACACAGAATTTTTGTGGGGAAAGACTGAAAAGTTTACAGTCAGTCAGTTTGTTTTAAGTGTTACATTTTTTCAGTTTTCAAAATATTCTTCTCCCTTCATAAAGAAATCTTGGGATATGATGATGGTCAAGCGATACAAATTATGAAGATCACTATCTTCTGGGACATGATGCCATATAGTCTGTAGTTCACCAATGTTCCTGGGAAATATCAATAAACTTTTACTGGGTTATGCAGGGTCACATCCCAGAAGAGAGTACCCTCACAGTTGCCACTGTGAGAACCTCAAATCCAACATAATGTAAGTTATAATTATCTTGTGTAACTGATTAACAAATAAAATAATTTGATGTCAGACTTAATCATTAATATATTTAATATACAGTATAAAGTTTTCAATATAATTGTTTGAAAGCAAAGAGGGTGTGTGGGTGTGGACTTGAGAGGGTCCAACAGTAGCTCCTATGAACACAGTGATTAACCTTTGGGTTCCACAAAAGTCAGGGAATATCTTTACTGCCTTCTCAAGGACTTGCTCAATGGAGGCACTTATGTGTCAATATGCCCGAGTCCATCCTGTACCTTAAACCCACACCCTGTTGACCATATAAATGTGAAAACCAGTCCTTCTAAAAAAATTTTATGACGACAGACTGCAGGACAATCTCAAAACCTGGCTACAAGGCTGGACAATGACTATGAAAGCACAATTTAGGTTGTGTTACTACATGGCAAAATATCTGTGTTGCTAACCACTTACTTTCTCTGCAACAATCTTTACACAAGTAGATAAAACAGAGAAATGTTTAAGTATCTACTTATTATGTGTTCTAAACACAGTCAGCATATTTGTCAACCACATGCTATATCTGTAAGGTAAGCAATATGAATTAACCTTTTCACTGTTAAGGTAAAAGTTGCTGCCCCTCTGACCTACCACCACACCATGAAAGGCATATAGACAGAGTGGAGGTAAAGCTTTATGCTTTCTCAGTCTCAGTACTAGACAAGAGTGAACATGCAACTTCTGTACCAACTGGATGGTAGGCCCTAAACCCAATCCAAATGTGGTGGCAAAGAAGGAAATCCTATTTCTGCTGGAAATCAACCTTGTTGCCCAAACAGCAGCCAGTCGTTCTACTGACTTATCATAGTTACTTTCACTGTTAGTGAACAAAAGTGTCAGTCAATTGCATGCATATAACCTTTTCTTACCTTCAAAATTCAGTTAGACAATATAACAACTATGTGTGGAATTTCCACACATACAAAAAATGCTATTAGAGCAATCTTTATCTCTAACTGGATGGCTACACCAATACCATTTAAATGGTGAAGATGTTTTAAGTGTTAAATTAAAATTTCATAGCCATGCAATCTTAAAAATCTGAAAGTAGTATCCATAATAACCATGATCACAAATGCGAGGAGGTAGCATAGTTCAGCCAAATATAGGATGATGATGATTTATGACAAAAAAAGATGTAGGCCCTCAAGTGTTTAAGAACATATGGAAATACATATCTATGGATGCCCAGTGCTTTGTAGTTTCTATAAGCAATGTAGTGTGTAGTGTGTAGTTGCCTTGTACCTATTTAAGCATCATGGCATGAAGAGGCATTGGGGCATTCTCAACCTAAGTATTAAATGGTGTGAATGGGCAGTTTCATGCCTCAGTTGCTTGACCTCTACTGAAAGGGCCCCTGGTACTTACTGTACAGGAGGTTTGGTGGGCTTCAGAATGGGTCTGGATGCTGTAAAGAAAAATTTCTGCCATTGCCAGGAACTGCACCCTGACTCCTTGGCCATCCATTCCACATTTTAGTCACTAAAATGAATTAACTATCTTTGTTCCTAATGGAATGTTAAATAAACATTTTCATGGCATAGTGCTTAATTAAGTTAAGCACAGGGACAACTTTACCTTTACCAGTGATGAAATAATGATGAAATATGTTTTACATTTACAAAAATTTTAATTCAAGTTCCTTTATGAACTTTGTAATACAATATAAAATACTCAAAATACAACAATTTCCAACCTCTTTTTCAAATTTCTGATTATGCAAATCACCTCTTAAAGCAATATGAAATAAAGTACTATGGTACTTCTAAGTTAACCTGAATAGAAAAAACAGGATCGAGTGTACAAGTAAAAAGGAGACAGCATTTCTGAGTGCAGGAATATACATGTTACAT